ACCATCTAAAGTCATCAAAGCATCAGTGGATGAACTTTCTGAAACATTACAAATTCTCTTTAACCACACTGTCAAAACTAGTGAATTTCCCAATGCAATGAAACAAGCAGATGTATCACCAGTATTTAAGAAAGAAAATCCAAATGATAAAAGGAACTACAGGCCAGTAAGTGTTCTTCCTTCACTGTCTAAGATATATGAAAGAATAATATATAATCAGATATTCTCATTCATTGAAATAAAATTATGCCCTCTTTTATGTGGATTCGGACACAACATGCATTGATACGTTTGTTTGAAAACTTAAAAATTTATCTAGACGATAAGAAAAAAGCAGGTATAATAATGATGGATTTATCCAAAGCATGTGATTGCCTCTCACATGACCTCTTAATTGCTAAATTACATGCGTATGGGTTCAGCAAACAATCTCTGATGTTATTACAAAATTACCTAAAGGAGAGGACACAAAGTGTGAAAATTAATTCTCAAACAAGCACATGGAAAAAAGTTACACAAGGAGTCCTACAGGGATCAGTTCTAGGCCCCCTTTTATTTAACATTTTTTTAAGTGATATTTTCTATTTCATGACTACAGAAAATTTTTGTAACTATGCAGATGACAATACAATATGGACAGTAGGTAAAAATGCTGATGATAAAATATATAAATTAAAAACAGAAGTAGCAGCTCTAAATAAATGGTTTAAGGATAATTCATTGTTATTAAATGAAAAATGTAACTTTATGTATTTACACATAAACAAACAAGAACTGAAAAAGCAAATATTAAAATAGGAAATGCCACAATCGAAGAGACGGAAAAGGCCAAACTACTTGGAATAACTTTAGACAGCAAACTAAACTTTGAAGAACATATAAAAAACTTATGTAATGAAGCAGGTAAAAAGATAAATGCCCTAGTCAGAATCGCCCCTTATATGAATTAATTTAAAGGATCACTATTGATGAAAACCTTTATACTTGGTCACTTTAACTATTGCCCTCTTTTATGGATGTATAGTAGCCGCAAATCTGGAAAACTTCCATCATATGATGATTTGTTCCAAGTCTAAACTCGATTCGGAACTTGAAACACTAACTAAGATCTTTCAGGAGAACGGCTATCCAGAGGATGTTATTTCAGTTTACATTAAGGAGAAGATAGGAAATTTCTCGGCTGAAATAAAATTTGGTCCTCAAAAGAGCCCGGTCTATCTAAAACTACCCTGGATCGGTGACAGTTACCTACGTTTTGAAAGTCAAATAAAACAGGCCATTGTAAATTGTTTCTTTGCAGTCAGCCCACGTGTTGTTTAAAGTACAATAAAGGCCCTTCCGTCCATTCAAAAGGACTGCGTTCCTGCCACACAAAAAAGTTGTTTATGAATTTACCTGCCACACATTGTTTATGAATTTACGTGCCAGTGTGATTCTGGCTACGTAGGACGCACTTCCCAAAGATTGGAGGATAGAATAAAGCAACATGTTCCGCCTAGTATTAAAAACAAAACTCGTCCCCAAAGAGAACAGCCACCTCGGTCTTGCAAATCTAAAATTACAACTAAAACCTGCGATTCTGCTATCGGGCAGCATTTACTGGAAAACCCAGATTGTGCAAAAATCTATAATGGCGACATGTTTCGGATTATTGGTAAAGCCCGATCGTCGTTCCATCTAGCAGTTTTGGAATCTATACCGCTACTGTGTAGACAAAATGAGTTCGTTTTCACCTTAGGACTCCATTGGTAACATTCTCAATAGGCAAGCGGCACTGATTAGTCAACCTTAACAGTCATGTGCTCGTGTTTCTGATCGGCCTATTTCGATCCACAACTGGGTATATATATTTCCTAGCGTGGAGTTTTCGGTCTATGTTTTGACGTTTTAAACCCTGAAGAGTGTTAGACGAAAAGCTTTAGTTTACTAAATGTTTGCTTTTTTCAAAGCCATTATCTGATATTTAGCAAGGAAAATATGTCTCAAACATATCGTTGATTGATCTCAAACATATCAAACATCAATCTTATCTTTCGTCGTTAATCAAATTTTTGTACAAAAATGTTTGTGCGTATACAAAAAGCAGTCGACCCGAAGAACAACATCATTTCTTCTTTGCCAATTCCAAATTGTAGCAAATCTGCCATAAAAAGTGACAAGAACTCAAGGACAGATATCATCAGTTTGTCCGCCTTCCCATTCTTGCAAATGCAATATAGCCTGCGTCACAGACCATCACCTAATGCAACATTTCTTCATTGACCAAGGCTCCCAATAAAGTCACTCCCATCCCAACAATATCACTTCTCTCCTTGTAGCATGTGCTTCCCGGAACTGATTGTTATTGTATGTAATTTAATAATGTCATCGTCTCTATCTGAATCTTTGTACTCTGTTGTTTGCACAGTATGTCTGTTGTTCTGTCTTGATGTGTTGATTAACAAACTGTGATGTTGTATAGAATGATTAGATCTAAATTGTAAAGATCAGTTGTTGGATTGAATATGAACATATGAACATATGAACTTGTATTTGTCTTCCTCGCTACATCCTCAACCTCTCTTGCCATTCAAAAACATGCCACTGTTGTCAACAAGGGCAAAGGCCTTGTACAATCGATAAAAACTATTTGTCCTGCATTCACAAAAATTTCTCTTTATTTCACGATTTTATACTATAGCGAGTTGGTGTTGACAGTTGTTCAAAACAGTGTTTGTGCAAAGTTGCAGATGAGTGTTCCTGCAAAATAACACAAAACTGGTGTGCAACAGATTTGAGGACTGCATGCAGAAATGAAAGAAGGCGACAGTAGGGGACAGAAAGAGAGCAAACTAGTAAAGTATCAGTGAACAAGTGTTTTATAATTACTACTTAAAGGAAAATTGAATGAGTGACGAGTACTTGATGTGATTTTGAATTTTAATAATACAGCTGCATTATACTTTGGAGTTCGTTTATGAGTTTATTTCTGCCATTTTTTTCATAAACACTTTTTTCAACAAAAAGGCAAAGACGGGTAGCCGCGTAGAGAGACAGGTAGCCACGCCACCTATGAAAAGGCTGGGAAGGTGGCCATCTGTCTTGTTTCTTAAGACTATTAAAAACTAAATCATCAACCTCGAAAAAGATGTGATTGCCTCAACAAAATCAATCAACTAGAACGACAATAAATGTAACACCAACGCCAAAACATATAAAAATTCATCTCTGAAAAGTTGGGGCACAAACTAAGTCAGCAACTATGTTCCATACAGATATGCTGGCGCTAGGAAAGGACCTTCCCCATTTGCAACAAAGTTCGATTATCTCACTTCAGAAGAGAAGATAATGTATAGGAGTACCATGGCTGCAATCATTGACCTTTATAAAGACAGCATTTTGGCTTTCTATAATCTATCTACAGCCTGGTGATTTCTGCTTCATAACCACAAGGGTTATTAACCTCTAGAAGAAGACGAGGTCAACACTTGAGCAGGTTTGTTCCATCAGCTGTTTACCACAGATAAATCGTATCTAGAAAGATTTGACAAGCTGCCGCCTCTGTTCAAGTATTTGCTTTGTAGGCCAAATCAATCTTTGGCAATTTAATCTTCTAGCGTGGGATTATCACATTAGCCTTTGATCTTTTGACCTTTTGCTAGCTCACTATCTTTTAAGCTAAAAAAGTTGAAATTGAAAGAAACCATTTGTCCCCTGACCTTGTGATAAGAGACTCTGTCACCACCGGTACCACCATTATCAAAGATTTCATCTTAATGGATGAATAAAGTCACAAAAATGTTAACTAAAGAAAAATCACTCACTTCAAACATCCCATTAACTTATACTTTGTTTGCAATGATTCATTTCTAAAAACAAACAAAAAATTAATTGCTTCAACGATATTATTTAATCTGATTTTCAGTCCTTGGATTTCCATTGCAATTTTCAAAATTCTGACTTTACGATTTAGTCATTAGTATTCAAAACTGGTTATGTCTTTTTGTTATAGATGTCGCCATTAAGGTATATGGCGTATTTAGGCAATGTACATAATGTTTTATATATATATATATATACTTAGTAAAGGTGAATGATTGTGTCCTTTGTTAAATATATAAACATATTTGAAAGTATCTCTTTTCTGACATGTCTATTGGCTGCAATAATATCTCTTGTGGTTCAGAAGCCTAAACCAGGACTTGAGAAAATGAGATATTGAGCGTAATGAAAATGAGCGTAAAAACATTGGTCTCCTCATAACAGCATTACTGAAGCTTACTCGTGCTACAAAGAAAAGTCACTGTTTTGTGCAACTTTTATTTTTCCGATTTTCATGCTCCAAAAAATCTACAGCTATAGCTTTTATTAAAGGAAATCCCAACTCCCTTTCCCCTCCTCGGAAGAATTCAATATCGTTATCATCGAGGGGTAATTCACTCAATTAAAATCTCGTACACCTTAGGTGTAAATCCTTTTGTTTTTGGGGAATCTCTGAAAATCCTTTTGTTTTCTGTGAGATCTCGTATGCTATTTGCAACAGGGAATTTCCCCTCGGTTATCATTAACTGTTAAATGTAATAAGCGTTGAAAAGAGGAGTTACCATTTCGTATCGGGGTGATATATCAGGGTGAGATTAGGGCTTAAAAGTTGCGTTTCGCAAAATTTAATTAACATCACACCGTCTGCCTGAAACAAATTTTAATGTCTTGCAAAGCCTTAATTACAGGGCGTGTGAAATAGGTATGGGTGCTAACTCTAGGGAAAATTTAATCAAGCAAGCTCATTAATTAATTTCTGTTTCATGATGCAAAAATATATTCTTTTTTCTATGTCCTGACAAATCAATCATCGATTGGTTCAGGCAAACGATTGGTGCACTCAGTTTAAGTTTATTTTATAGATTGCCTTTAAAGACATCTTAAGTTTGCTGGTAGCACAGTACCTGAGAGGAATAGCAATTAAATCGTTCAATGCATATCCCAGGTAAATCAACAAAACTTAATTATGTTTACTTAATTAGCACATACCTATGGCTATAAAATGTGAAGAAGATGGCTCAAAGTCACTTTCAGCAAAAATCACAGAGACGTCTTGTTGCTGAAAAGCAGTAAGTACTACTTTTTCTAAGGTATCAATCAGGCTAAAGATCGCATGTATAATGTGTCTTTTTTTAAGTTTGATAGCCATGGAGTATATGCACCTTAACGTTCCTTTTTATTTGGTTTGCTTTACGTGGAAATGGTCTTCGAGACGATATTTTGCTTTAATTGCTTTTAAATAGCACTGCATACGTTTCAATTTGATTTTTTACTACGAGCAATTCGAATAGATTTGCGGCAATGACGATATGATAGCTTTATGACTGAGACAGCACAACCAGAAATATTCAATGCGAGGCTCTACAATAATGCTAAAAAATTTGCTTAGGTAGAACGTTTCTAGTTCGTTCCTGTAATGTTTCACGATAAAGCAGAAGTAACCTTAGCAATGTAAAGACGATAAATGAAGACCAATGGTTTCCGAAGTTGCTAATCAGTAATTAAACATTTAAGAGAAATTTCGTCCTTGGCTGAAACACTCATCAATTTTGTTAACCATATTTTCAATACTATAATGTGCAAATAGATTTTTAGAACTTTTAAAATGAAATTTTCCTATTTCAATCTACAGGTAAACTGAAAAGATGAACACTGTCGTGCCCGCTCTCCTTGTTGCTTTTATAGCATCTTGCCAAGGTAAGCAAAATCAACCTTTATCATGGACTGATATTCAGTCTTGAGCCTAAATGCCATTAGGCAACATAATGTCTTGGCAGAGGCGAAGTAACTGAGAGTCCTCAAGTTCAGGTTTGACCTATGAATTCTCTGCGCCTGTCAAACCAGTAGCAAATTGGTACCCGTTAGAATGGATAACGGCAATGTAAGGAAAGGAACTAAACACCCTACCTTGGTGTTAGAAAATTATTAGGCACTTTTGTTTGAGAATAATAGGAACAAAAGGGATTGTTCATTGGGAACAAAGTTTTTTTATAATATTTTAGGAGGCTCAACCCCCCTCCCCCTCATAGAACAATAGTACCTTGTATGGCTAGGAAAAATACTCTCACTGACAGGCATTTTCCATACCCACGGTTTATATACGCGACACATCTTTACCGTTACACTACCCTGGGTACCAGACGTTACACCTTCCTGTCCCAACAACTACATTTCCGTAATTTTCAAAACAAACAGTCTTTGCAAATTAATCTGCATGTCATTTGCTTTAACCGTAGGTATAACGATAACGTTTCCAGTGAAGATATCTCCTATTGCTGGCTTATGGCCACCATCAGCATCTTGGGGAAACTGTCGTGAGTATATTTTCATACAATCAATTATTCACATTCGACTACTCTTTTCAACACAACATTTGTTTAAAATTTTCGCAGCGAACGCATTGGGGACTTCATATTGCCTCTTTTCATGCCCTAAGCAAGACAATTTCGAAACTTGTTTCCCACTTTATATGAGCTTGTGATTTTAAGGATGAAGGGGCAATAACAGCAAACTTAATAATCATAGTAATGCAAATCAGCAAGTTCACTTACTGTTAGGAATGGTATTACTAGAATATTGAAGAACCCAGTACCGTGAATCCTCGAATTGGCCCCCTCTCGAATAAGCCCCTACTGCTACCGTAAATTCTCGAATTGGACCCCTCCATTTGATGATTTTTGCCTTCTGAGGTTGCCTATGGCGTTCTATTGAATTACCACAACAAATTCATACTTTAGGTAGTAATTAGTTAAATGCTCATAAATAAATTCCTACTAGAATAAACGAGGTCTTTTAATAATGTCTTCTTAATGTCTACAATAATTTTTTAAGCCCCTCCCTCGTATAAGGCCCCCCTCGCATAAGCCCCCAGCCAAAAATATCTAAAATAAATAAGCCCCTACGGGGCTAATTCGAGGATTTACGGTATATCAGCATCTTATATATTAACAGTCTGCAAAACCACATACACCCGAGCTAAAAGGGATATGGGTTTCCAATCAACCATTGCGTGTAAATTTGTTTTGGGAAATGAAAAAGATTATACACATTTTAATTTGTTGTTACGAAGACATTTGTGTCTATTTAAAAGGATTGCTCATACCCAACTTGTCAAGTATCATCAAAATAACAGTTTGTGATTGGTCAGTATTCTTGCGATGCAAAACTGCTCACATGAAAAGCTAACCTCGCAGCAAGAACGACCGTAATGTCTTGGGTGATGACATGAAAAATCACAGGAAAACCCCCGCAGAGTTGCTTGCTCCCTTCAAGTGACAGGTTCCATTTTGGATGTTACCATATATATATATAGGGCTTATATAGGACCAGTCTCAATGGTTCAAAGTAGAACTGCTAATTGGTCACAGGTAATTCCAAACTAAATAAAATAATTTCTGGATAACTCCAAATTGCTCCAACATGTCCCGTGTAATTGACATAGATAAAAAAGATTAGCCTCGGAAAGGCATAAGGTGTATTAACCTCGATTTGAAAAAAATTAGCTCCGGACAGGTTAGGTGAAAAAATTGACTCTAAAATTTTTAAATGTTTTCTCTAAAATGTATAATCAGGTTGCAAACTGTACAGTACAAAACTGCGTTATAATACTTAAAACAAAGAGGTTCTCATGGATAACCCTGTTCCTTTATAGACAGTGAAGTTAGACCAGGGCATGGTCTCATTCAGTCCAACAAGGAGTGTGTATTGGATAAGTTGAAGTCTACATGCGGCTTCACTGCAAGCCAAGCAGACACTTTGCTGCAAGCTGCTAGCACTATGGTCGGAAGACATCCTCACGCTAGTGGACAGGTATGCCTCGTAGCTACTTTCTACAACATCACTTGATAGAATGGCAACTGAAATATTTATTTTAGCATGATGCCGAAAGCTCTTTACCGAGATTCGACCAATGCAAACAATTACTCACGCTAGGTTTTAAAGAGGGTTTAAAGAGGGTTTAATAGCTTTACATCTGATTGATTCTTTTGGCTCTCCAATATTTCATCTTCCATTAAAAATTAGAAACAGGAATTTGTTCTAGGCTTTTGATTTGTTTTATATCATTCATATCTTTGCAAGAAAGAAGTAACCAACATTTTGACAGCAACAACTAACACTTTTGCAAGCTAAAAAGTATGAACATAGGGTCATACTTGAAGTTAACTGACTGTACCATATTTTGCTTGTTCTAAAAACTGTGCATATCTGTTCTTGATTTTGCTTGAAAACTATCTATATAATCAAAACACGAACCTTTCGATGCTTGTAAAATGTACTGATTTTGGTCTATCTATTTGGAGATCATTGTAAAAGTTTAGGTCATCAATGGCCTTTTCATAACCATCGGAGTCCATTTGAGGTAATAACAAGTTTTGGTCGCATTGCATTTCAAACCTAACAGAGATATGTCTATTTCCTAACCATTAACAAAACTCCGTGGAATGAAAGCTGAAATTTTTTGTGCATGCCTTGACACTCTTTATCTTTTTTAAAAACAGCAAGTTGGTGTCGACAGTTGTTCAAAACAGTGTATGTGCAATGTTGCCTCAGATTGTTCCTGCCAAATAACACAAGATTGGTGCTCAAGAGATCTACGAAGCGCTTGCAGCAACGAAAGAAGTCGTTAGAGAGACTATTTTATCGTAGAGAAAAAAATGATAATTACAAACACATTCGACATGTTGGCTGTGATTAAAATTTGTCAAAGAGTATGATGATTCTTTGAAAATTGTTAAAGAGCCTAGTTTTCTGCATTTGTTCAAAGAGACTGGTCTATGCTTTCCAACCTCTCGTTGTACATTTTTAGGTAAAATATTGCAATGTTGCAATTCAAGTAAAAAGTTTCATTATGCAATTACTGAGCCCAAACTCATTGTGGTTAAACAGATGATATGCAGAAGTGGCCTACAAATTATCACTTACATCGACACAAGCAAGGTTATTTAATTTCACTAAATGGCTAGCGATATAAATATTCTTGCTTATGATATTGATCTTATAAATAGATAATAAATGAATAAATAAATAAATAAATAAATAATAGGAATGTCACTTTTCTATGAACGGCAATAAGAGTAGCCAAATGTCACTTTTGCATCTCAGTTAAAAAATATCAGTAGAATCAATATGAAAAATCACTTGATGACCAGAAAGATTTTTGGCCAAGACAAGACCTTGACTAAAATTGATTTTTCCCCAAAAAAATATCATCGGCCTTAACACAATTTTAGCATGGTAAGAGGAACTGGATCGAGCCTATCAACCTTGAATGGAGATGCAGAATGAAATATTAAAAAAAAGTATGATGCATAATTCTATAGCAATATGTTCCCAGAGGTAGCGAGTAATCAAAATAAAAAGGGGAAATAATTGTATCGTTATTAGCTTACTATTATGTTTTAACCCAAACAAACAATAAATAGAGAAGTAAGAGAAAATAGTATCTTGATATTTTCTTTAAAAGTAGATAAAAGGATAAGTAAGCCGAGAGGCCAAGCCTGACATTGTTATCAGACATCCACCACTTCGAACATAAGATTCAAAGTTAGTTCCTTGAACCTGTTCACCTTTGAATGTTGACCTTTCATGAAATCGGGGGTCAATATCCATATGACCTTCTCACCTCTCATGAAATTGAGGATTGGATCCCTTTTCCGTCAGATCTGAACGTCTTTCGTGCTGTAAGGTTAAACATTAATCTGCTGGATACTAAAGAGAGCCTCAGCCAATGTAAAGAAAGGCGTGTAGCATTTCTTCTGTTCTTTTTTACCTATTTGGTTCCCTCCTATTTCCTTTTTTGGATGCTTCTTTAACTTTGATTTTGGTAAAGATTGTCTCTGTCATTTTCCATTTCTGCATTATTCAAATTAAATAAGGTGCCAGGTTTATTACAGATTCACACTGCTTCAAGGGTGTGACATTGAAAAAGCCTTTGGTATCTTCGTGTCTCCCCAAAAACAAGAGCATTCGCTCCAGGTATTCTAAGTTTAGCATGTCTTATTCCCTTTAAAAATCATAACCTGGTGTTTTTAGCAGAAACAATTCTTAAATTTTACCCTTTGAGAATGCAGGCCAATAGATAGATACAATATGGGCCAACTATAAAAACAATCATTACCTTCTATTGTAAGCAAATGTTATAAAGAAAAGTCGAAGCTAACATCAAACCAAACTATATTTGTTCGAAGCACCTATGTCATCACATTTCATTCCTTTGCCTACTATTTTGTCCTTTGACTTAATTTTTGAATCAACACAAGGTGATCAACCTCCAGGAGAAAATGTCAGTACTTCAGCAGTTTTGTTTAGCCAGCTGTTTCCATAGAAGGAGCACTTGCTTTCGTAAAATCAAGGCCTGGCTTTTAAAAATGCATTCTTGCAGCATGTTGACCGGTTGGCTTTTAGAATGCAGTATATTATCATTTGTAAAATGTTGGCACTCCACTTTCAACCTTTGACTCTTTGTCATTAAACAAAAGATGAATTCAAGAAAGCGTTTTGCTTTTTGATATCGAAGGAATTGAATGTTTTCAAATAATGAATCATTCTTAAAAGCAAATTATATCTAACTGTAGCAAAAATTCTTTGACTGGCATTGAAAAAACATAAGACACTCTGACAGAAGGTCTTTGCGAAAGTTTAGGGTGTATTGATCAGTATGATAATTTGCAGATGCGAAGTCACGTGTAAGTAGAGGCAGGTGAAGACCCTGAGAAACAAGAGAAAGTAGCAAATGTAAAAAGAAGTTGAAGTCGACAAAACATTATATTCGAGACATATCGTGTTTGTAGAGACGTTGTGTTTTGATACAAAATCGAAATTGTAGCATTTCATTTATCTTTTTGTTGTATTTTTTATGCTGGACTCTGACCCCTGTATCACAACAACAGCTAGTGAGAATAACTGTACATATAGAGCTGTACAGGCATTGGCTTATAACAGGAAGGCTCTATGCTGTTTCACGTATTGATCAGTTAACATATGATTACACAATCAGGCTTTGTTTGTGTTATAGCTCTATTGCTCTGTACAAATTATACGTTGTCAAACATAAACAAGTAGAGGCAGCAAGTAGATTGCTTATTAACTTCAGATTTTCTCATACTAAAATCTCACAGAAGATTCTGTTAAGTGTAGGTTATCATTTCTTATACTGATGAGATACACAATGGAATACCACAGTGATCTCATCTTTGTCCCTTGATGTTTTTTATATGGATAAAAGTAATTAACGCACAACATACAATTTCCTTTCTAAGGGCAATAGAAAATCAGTCACGAGGTTGAATTTTGCCTTGATAAAGGAATCTCAAAATGAAATAAATATAATTTTGCTTGGAAGTGTTGATTATCCAGACATAATAACATAAGAATTTAATGCATATGGAAGTTAGAAACGTAATGTATTTTCCAGGTAAATCAACAAACACTTGTTGGTGTTATCTCCATGTGCTCCGTTCAGGGCTATAAAAGTGCCTGAGAGATAGCCGGACAGTACTTAGAAGAAAAGGTCTACTTACAACAAAGTCACTCAGCCGGTAAGTAGCAGATAGCAATACTTTATACGTTAGATCTTATGAAGATAGCATAGAGATTTGCGTAAAGATAAAGGTCCACATTTTTGCATTTCTACGTTGCTTCGTCAAAGCTCGATTTGATAGCCAAGACATATTTCATTGGTTTCCCAAAAGATTCAACTGTATCTAAACTGACATAAATTTTGCTATTACAATTCGGTTGCATTGCTTTATTAACTGCATACAATAAAATATATCGAATCGATTGTCTCTTCAAAAATTTCTTTCTTCGAACTTGCGATGATCTTAAAATTTTGAAACTGTTGCAACGAGAATTTTTTCAGGTCTGTGCTTTTATTGTCTCTATCTGAAAACTACTTCCAATATCTTAAGTTTGAGATATCAAAAGAATTCATCAGCATTTCATAAGTGTAGTTTTCACATGCTTTTTAACATTTGGATTTTTCTACAGTTATCAAGAAAATGAAGACATTCATTGTTTTTCTTATTTTTGCTGTCATGGCAACTTGTCAAGGTAAAAGCAAAGTTCGTTTTTTCGATCAAGCTTTTGAATAAGAAAAGTGAAATCACTTTTTAGATAGAATCCTTTTTGATTTAATGTTGGAAAAAGAAAAGAAGTAACATGCATAAATTTAGGCTACTTAGTTTTCGAGTTTTTGATTTGCTGTTATTAAATCGAGAATATGTAATAACTTAATTGATTTTGCAAAAAGCTGTTTCATTAAAATGCTGCCAGAGATATATCAGCCCCCTAGAAAAAATCCTAAGTCGAGCTTGGGCCACCTTGCCCCTTACATAAGGTAGATCCTGCAGTGCCTTTAGATCAAACATAGGTTTTCAGAGCTAGTGATCAAAAATAAAATGTAACAACAGTTCAATCCCGGTAACTCTCGATCTTCCAAGGGAACAATGAAAATCTATCCAGTTAGGAATGCTTCTATAAGAAAGTACCGGGAACATTAAAACACACCTTTCTTTATAGGAATACCTTATTTTTTGCTGAGCCTCAATATTCGTACGTTTTTTTATTTTGAGCCTTAGATTGTTTTTAACTTATTTTTTTCTTTATCATATTCTTTATCGACCCAAGATGTAAATGAGTCGCATTGTAGTGTTAATGATTAAAAGGTCGGATACATATATTTCAAGACATATAGATTGAATCTTGCATTTGTTTTGCTCTCCAAAAAACTCAAATAAACAAAGAATTTAACTTTTGATGATGCTTGTCGCTTGAAATTAAGGCTAAGTATTCATATAGACTATCATCATCATCAGGTACCATCTTCTATCAGAAGGTTGGCTACCATGACCCTCCAACTATCCCTATCGACAGAATATTGTTTAGCTCTCCCAATGCTCTAACACCGGCTCCATTCCTTAACATCGTCTCCCCATGTTCTTCTTTGTATTCCCCTGTCTCTTTTTCCGTCAATCATACCTTCGAAAACAAGCCTTGCCAAGAACCAGGATGATCCCGTCATAATGTGGCCAGCTAATCTCACTTTTCTTTTTATCATTTCGTTGACTAAAACTCTCTGATGTCGAATTGTTTCTAACACTTGTTTTTGTTGGTTACCCTTTCAGTCCAGTTTATAGACTATATTGTTCCAAAAAAGTTTGGATAAAGGGAAATCAAAACAGTTATCGGAGGTTTGAGTTATTGGAGATTCAAATAACCGATATTATACTGTATGAGCTCAAGCAAATCTTTGTTATTGCCGTTGTCCCTTCAGTTAAAAACGACGATTGAAGAATCCTGCTAAAAATTAATTTTGTTGCAGGAATGACAATTAAGTTGCCTGTGTTGGTATCACCTATCGCAGGCATATTTGCGCCATCAAGCTCTTGGGGAAATTGCGGTAAGTCGTGGAAGCCATCTATCTATTTTAGCATGGATGTAGTCTAACAATTCCAGATATTATATAAAAATAACCTGACTAGCTGGCGATATTAGTTCCTTTGTAATCTTTCTACGGTGTTCTACTTTGACCTCGTTTGTGCACTCACAAATGCCCATCCGCGTACATGCGGTATGATTTCTGCAAAATTCCTCTATACGAACTTGGCTTCGGACGAGCGAAGATTTGGATGCAAGCAGTATATCTTTATGTAGATCGATTCCAATTAACTGCTAGAATATTTCCAAAATTGTTCTTTGGCAACTAAGCTAGCAAACAAAATTGAGTACAGGGAGGCGACTAACAGCCTACACCCCACATCCTACCTCCGAATCCTGCCCCACATCCCACACCCAAAGGCTGGTTTCTCGTTTTAGATAGTGAGCAGAAGGCATACCATGGACTTGTTGAATCAAACAAGGGATGCTCAATGAAAAAACTCAAATCCATATGTAAGTTTGGGGATGATCAAGCAGAGTTGCTCTTCCGCCTGGCTAACTCAATTGTCAGTAGACATCCGATGGCCAGAGGAGAGGTAGGTTTTAATGAAAAATTAAAACTTACATTCTTTATTGCTGTTCTTCAAATTTGCGTCTATGTTCACGATGGCTGTCTCATCCAATATTAACTTTCTAAAAGAAGTAAGAAATACTTGTATGGCTTTTGATGAAATTTTCTATTGAAGCTTCATATTCCTAATACGGTGTAAAGAAATGATATTGATGCCGAGCAATAAAGATTTATTTTCATATGCAACTTGGTATTATCGCAAATATGGTTTTACTGCATTTACGAAAACATTATGGGTTATGTCACTTATTATTTTTTTATGACTAGGAGATACACGGTATGAAGATAGGTCGTATCTAGACTGTAGGAGAGACATTTTCATGTACTAATTTAGCACAGAGCGTACAAATCATTCACTTTCAAAATTTTCGGTCATTTTTCTGACGATTTATGCTGTGAAAATACTGGACGCAAAGCTCAAGTTTCTTAAAAATGTTTTAAATGTTTGCTTTTTTTCAATACATTTTTATATTTTGTGACCCCAAAAAGTTGTTTGGATCGTATAAAACATCACCTTCATATGGTGTCATTCTAGTGTGATAGTGATTAATGCCAAAATACTAAAAAAGACTACAGAATAAAATAACATACTGGCTAGCAGGAATTATACTTATACAAATGTTAGACTAATGTTTCAAATTTCTTCTAATTCAAGATAATCGGAGCAGACCAGGATGCAAAGAAATGCATGTGCAAAGTTGCATCTGAATGCAAATGCCAGATCACACAAGATTGGTGCTAAAATGAGCAAAAAGGGCAACGAACATTGAAGAAATTTAAAAGTAAAATCCAGCCAATCGTTGTTAAATGTATTTTAGCATCAATTCAGTTATATGAGGAATTCATTAAATCTTTTTCGCGTGCCTATCTGCCTCAACATATGTCAATAATATATCGAGCACAATCAGCAAATCGTGATTGCAAATATTGCTGTAAATGTGTTTGTCAAGGAACAATCACCATCACCAGCGCAGGGGCTTAGCTGATAAAAGATCTCAATGAAACCGGGGATAGGGTATTGTAGACCGATGCAGTTAGGAAGGAGAAAAATATTTCTTTGACTAAATTTCTGAAGCGTAGTCCTGTGACTAGATCAAAATATTTCTGAAGCGTAAGCATGGAGACTTTAGCTACGTAACTGACAGAGGGAGTGTATAGGTTGTGGCGGTTTTTTCATGAGTTGTTCGGTAAAACCGTTTGTTGGTTAGTAAAACTGCCAAATGGTAAGTATAATAGGGACAAAGCAAGTTTTATCCATGTTCAGTAAGTTGGTAAACTTTGTTGCCATACCACAAACAATTGTGACTGTGATTTTCTCAATGAAAGACGGTGGAGCTAGCTTTGTGCTGAGCAGGTTGCATGAATCTTACTGTTTCAATTTGAATCAAAATTTGACAGAACCAATGGTCACGGACAAGTTCACAAGGCACAGAAAGTTAGCTCATCTATGTTTGTGCTTTGAGCAATACTGTAAAACCTTTTTATTGAGGTGTTAAGCCAGATTATTAACTGAATATTAACTGAAAACCACATCTATACAGTGGTAAGTATTGGCCTTAAAATCCTTCTTTGCCTGTATTTTTACCTTTTGATAAACTATCTCGGTTGTTGCAAAAGCTCTGCCTGCGCTAGCGTAACTGCTAACTTTTTTCAAAGAATTTCGATTCAACATTCATCGCAACTTTCGGAAATTTAAGATACAATGAACAAGCTAGTATGAATCATTCACAAACAACATTTGTATGTTGATTAAAACTATTATTTGAAATTGTGAGCCTCGTGAATCCGGGGATAATGTATTGTAGACAGCTACGGTGGCAAAGAATCTCGCTCAAAAAGTATTCTGTGACTAGTTTCGAACTATATTTCTGAGACTAAATAATAGAGATTCTGGCACCCAGGGTGGAGATTGTGTGACCTGCTTATAGATGGGAAGGGTGGTTATAATGTCAACTAAATAACTCAACGAACGATTCATAAGTTAAGAATTGATAAGAAGACCACTCCAGTAACCATTGTTGGGCCGTGTTGAAAGTTGAGGTTCGGCCAAATGCTCAGTAATTTATATTTGAAGCCTTTGCTAAGATTGTTACATCGTTTGCTTGCAGGATTATGTTATTCTTGTCTAAGGAATAATTTTTCTTCTTAAAATCTGCCACACAAATTGAATTATCTCAATTTTCATTGGTTTTTTCTCTTATCAATTTATCCTATTTGGGAATATCGAAACGCAGCTTAAATTGACAACTGTTATCGTTAGACTGAGTGTCTTTATTTTACAGAGAAATCCTCAAGATGACGTCATTCATTGTTCCCATCTTTCTTGCTTTTATAGCAACTTGTCAAGGTGATTGCTCGATTTTTGTCAATTTTTCTCATCAACGTAAGCAGTTTCGGCATAAAGAAACTTAAAAGCGGCTTTGAAAAACGCAAACATATGAGTATACTAAGGCTTTCATCTGGCACTCTTCAGAAGATAAAACGTTAGAACATTGAACGAAACTCTGATTGGGTAACCTCAACAGTCATGTGCATGTGTTTCTGATTGGCCTATTTCGACCCACAACAGGGTAAATGTATTTCCTAGCGCAGAGTTTTCGTTCTATGTTCTGACATTTTATACTCTGAAGAGTGACAGACAAAAAGCTTTAGTATGCTCAAATATTTGCTTTTTTCAAAGCCATTATTAAGTATTGTACCACCAAAAGATTGTTTGTATAAAGAAACTCTTTAAAGTTAACTAATGATCAGCTAGTAGCATATCAGGAGTATCAGTTATACGGAATTCCTTGCAGTTGGTCCTGAAATAATACCAGGTTCAATAGGTAGCAATAACGAGATATCACAAGTGCTAATGAATAGCACATCAACTAGATATTGACAATATAATATAGATATAGATATAGAATGGCATATAATATAGATATTGACAAATTTGATGAAAATATCGAAAAATGGATATTGATAGCAATATAAAATTCTTTAAATGTCAAAAAATGTCCATGTGCCTCAAGAAGAAAATCATGAGCACTCTGATGTTGCCAGCAATGACATATGGTGCAGAAACATGGACATGTTTACCCCAGTTTTCCATGAAGTCGATTTTTCAATTTCTCGACATCCGGTGAAAAACCTTTAGGGGGGGGGGGGGTGGCTGATCAGATCGATTTGTAAGAATGATCAGATCGATTCTCATTCTTACAAAAAAACTCCCGTTACAAAATATGCTGCTTGAGGAAATTGCTTTAAAAAAATTTCGAAATTGATAAAAAAATACCTAAAAGGCATTGCTCTGTTATGCAACGTTTCGAGCGAAAGGCAGGAAAGGAGAGAGGAAGCGCTTGTGGAGGCCATCCGCCAGGAGTGATTATGGCAGCATCATCATCATGATTATAATGATGATGGCATCATCATGTGAAATTCCGATGATTGAAGTAAACAGGTAAAAATAAATTTGAAAAGCAGAGAAAAGTGGCAAAATGTAAACTTTGGATCATGACTTGCGAAAAATGTAGAAATAGTCACTAATAAATATTTATTTAATTCCTATTAAGTGGTACACTCTTTTTTTATAAGAACCAGTAAATTTAAGTTCAGGCTGACTGTTCTTATTTTTTTCGAAAATCTGAGGCTGAATTGTTCTTAATTTGTTCTTAATCTAATAGGGTGTAAGCAGTGCGAGTGCTAGCTTTTTCGCTCTAGGAAGGTGTTCAGGCCTCATTTGCCAACAAAGTGAGTAAGACAACCTTCATTTGCCGAAAAGTTTGGATATTCGACGAAAAAGCACCCACACATCGCTAAAAATCCTCGATTTTGAGAAAAAATGTTGTTCAAAATTGCATTTTGCAGAAGCTCAGCTTCAGCTTGTTCTTAATTTGTTCTTAACTTTTGACCAATTTTGAGGCTCGTGTTCTTATATAAAAAAAAAGAGTGTACACCATATAACTCGGACTTTTGCCATGTCGATTTCATTTTACTTTCCTTCCTTATTCAAGTGAAAAATCCTACCCCGGGCATTAGCTGAGTCCGACCATTTCCTTTCCACTTAAAGGTCCAACTTAACGGAATTCAGCAGTGTATACCGATGAGGACAGAAAAATACAAAAGAGGATTTCAAAGGTTCTGCAAAATCAAATATGTGTTATTCGCTTGAGCTGAGAAAGTTGTCTTAACACATATTTGTTCATTCTAGGTATAACAATTCGTTTGCCTGTGATGACCAACCCAATTTCAGGAATGTTTGCTCCATCAAGCTCTTGGGGATCTTGCAGTGAGTATAAAGCATTGAGTTTGACTTATAGCTAGCTTTATTATATCAGGCAGGAAACATTAACATGACCACAAATATACAGAATCATTTTGTATTGCATTGTAGTCTCCATTTAATGGATATGCATGGAACCAGGGTTTTCATGACAAGGCTATTTGTACGTCGTTTGGAGGTTCCCTTATTTTGGGGTGCCCGTTGATTTAATACCAGTACATCAAAAAAATGTTCGGAATAACCCGGTGAACAATTTTAACACATTTGTTTAAAAAACGAATGTATTCTTGCAACCTTACAGCAATTGTGATGCCAGAGAGACACGTACCCTAATTATCGACCCGACCATAAGACAAATTTTTGTGGTGCTGGAAGGACGTCGGCGGTGGATTTTGTCGGTATAATGAGAATGACATTGAGAATGACATTGAGAATGCCACTACGTAACAACACTTTGAATTTGTCATTCCCTGATTAAAGCAAAAACGTTCCCTGTAAGTAAAAGAATGTTTTCTGACATTAAAAAGTTATGGCCTAAAGAAGCTTTTTTCCCCCTCCCTATTTCCCGCAGTACCTTTTCGGCTACGGTCGTCATTGCCTTTCTGCCACATCTATTTGCCACATAATTTCTTGTAAGGTCAGATGCCTCCATTAGTAGTCTATCATCAATGTCTCACATTCGCGCAGTTCATTTGAGAGTAATTGATGAAAGTTGTGCATCAATTTTCATTTGTAGATAGCGAGCAAAAGGCATTCCATGGGATGGTCCAATCAAACAAGGATTGTGCTATGGAAAAGCTGATGTCAGTTTGTGAGTTTAGTGAACAGGATGCTCAGATGTTGCTCAACCTTGCAAATTCGATAATTTCCAGGCACCCCATGGCTCGTGGTGAGGTAAGAATTTCTAATACACTCTAAACATCAACTAACAATTACAAAATTCATTCACATTTAAAAATCTCTTTCATTCAGGCATCGTGGGGCAGGGGGGCTGAGGGGCTTTAGCCTCCCCACATTTTGCAAAAAATGCCAAATAATAAGTAATAAACTACCAGTAAAGCCTCTCTCAATACGGTTTTAGCCCCCCCCCCCCCACAATTTTTAGACCTCCCGCTTTTCTCAACTCTCCGTGGTGCCTGTCATTGAAGAAAGAGTGGCAAACTCATGAAATCATAAAGATCTATCTTTCGAGTTTTTAATTTTGACCACATGAGCAAAGTGGCTGAAATGTTGCTAAATAAACACAGGTCTGATTGAATATCTTTGATTTTTGCCTGGTCCTACAATTTATGAACAAGGTCAAGGCTAAAACAATGGTAAAACATTAGCAAAACTCAAATCTTCAATTAGTATCATTCAGGGGCGGAATCCAGAGCAAACTTGAAGGAGGGGCAGTTGGTAGTGGGGGTGCTGAAAAAGTTTCAAAAATTGATGACGAGAGAACGCTGTATACAACAATTTCAGGTCCATTTTCGGAATAAACAACATAACTTTTAAGTAATCCTTGAAGCAAATTAATCTATCGGTCTCAAAAAATTTTCACCTGATTCTCATTCTTCAAAAGGGGCGCACAATTTCCAAAAAAGGGGCGCCATACTTGCTTCAACTCGTCGAGGGAGGGGCAACTGCCCCTAGTTGCCCCCCTTAAATCCACCACTGGTATCATTGTAGCCAGTTTGCAACTGAATTAAATTGCTTTGCAAAATAAAAGAATTTTAATAGAATCATTAAGTGTTCAAAATTTTCAAAAATTCTAAAAATAAATCTTTATGACAGCATTATTTTGCTACTTTTTTGTAATATGAAGCTGTTTTATAAAGACCATAGTCAGCATAAGGAGAGCTGGTAACAAAATAGCTGGACTAAACACTGAGTTAATAAGTTGCTTTAAATAAATTCCTTGCATACAATTAATTATAAAATTCAAATTTACTATAAGCAAAACATAAAAGCATACAATTTAAACAAGCCATATTGAATTTTTTTCCAATAAAAGGTAGTGGGAGCAGATAGTGGTGCCAAAAAATGCATGTGCAAGGTTGCATCTGAATGCAAATGCACAATAACACAAGACTGGTGCAGTGATCGTGATTTGAAAAAGAAAGCTAGGAAAATGACAAATAAGAAGAAATCTGAAGAAAAGGCAGAAGATAAAAAAATCGTAAGCCAATGCATTAAGTTTTTTTAAATCATTTATATATTTGCATGGTCAATTGGTTAATTGATATTTTGAAGTGACCATGGTACTCTGAAGGTAAAGATCAGTCTTTTGGAAGAAGTGTGGTCAGTAAGATACCACTCTAAATGATATTGATTTATTGAGGTTTTCAATAGATCCGTGATCTTCAAATCAGAATAATGAAAATATTTTAAATAAATCAGGTTTTGAAAGATCAGTACTTTTTGAACAATTTAAAACAAAAAAATTATTTTTCATTAAAGGCCTTTTATCAAGACATGTTAAAAATTCAAATACAAATTTTCTTAATGACACTATCATATGATTTTTAAAAAAATAAATAGCTAAAATACAATTTTCCTCGCTGAAATTCATAAATTTTAAAATAAATAAAAACTGGTATTGATTTTTTGAAAGTTAACAATTGAAGTTTTCCCACCAGAAAAATAGTGAAAAGGAAGAAAATGATGCAGAAATTCACAAAAATTGAAGTAAAAAGAAAGTGAAGGAAAAAAAGTTTAAAAAGAGACAGACAAGCAAGAAGAGAAGGGCAAGAAGAAAGATAATTAAATTTTTGTGTAAATAAAACACAAAAAGAATATTTTTCCTTGTATGAAAGGCATACTTCAATGAAAAACAGAAAGTGTATTAGATTATATCTATGATTCGTTGAATTAGAAAAATGAGCAATATTTCACTTTGATTTGATAGCATACACAAAACAAAAATATACTACAATATAATTTAATTCTTATAATGGTTACTTAAGCCCAGTTTCAAAAGGTTTACTCTACTGTACTGAAGATCAGTGAGATACGGGTACTTTTGGGTCTAGAATTTGGAGAAATGCTAGTTTGGGTAAGCCAGTACACTTTATGTATCCAGGAGCATCACCAAAGAGGGTGGGGTGCAGTACCCCAATATTTTGTTTGTTGCAACATTGAGAGTTTTGATAGGCAAAAGATGTAATTTTTGCAACAATTATAACATATTAACATTTTCTGTGAACTTTCAAAGTATGGCACTAGAGTATAAACTTTTCAACAGAAACACATAAAAGTAGCATGTAGGAGCTTTTATATTTTGACCTGACTCACTTTTGACCTCTTAAAGAGTAAGGCATGCCCTTTTTGTTGGCAAAAATCACCTCTTCACCTCTTAAAACAATTTGTTTGGCTATGCCCCTGCATGTATACTGGAAAGGATTTTTTTCCGAAACAGGAATAGACATAGCAAGACGTATGAATCCACTCAATGTAATAAGCAATGTAACCTCCAGCATTTAGGTTACAAACAAATCATAAGATTACCATCATATTGATATCATGACTATCATTTTGTAAATTTGAGAAGTTTCTTTAGAGGTTAAGAGATGTATTGAATAGTTTTGAATTGTTTGATTCGAATATATGAAGGAATATACCTTTGGTAAACAATCATTGTTTCTAAGAGATTGCCAGTGCGACAGTTATACAACATATAATGGAAATACAACATAGATTGGAACAACTAAATCTACATACAACATGGAAAACATGCTGACATGGAGTTTAGTTTGGGGGTACAAGCTGCAAGTGGAATCAAAACTAGTGTGCGTTGCCCTGTGAGTTGCATGTTAAGACCCTTAATTTTACCTTGGATCATACCAGGTTCACCGGGGCATTTGTTTAGGTACGCCGAAAATATAAAAGCAGATAGTAAAACTGTAAACATTGTTGCACCAGACAAAGAAAACGGATTATTAAAGAAAACTGTGGTGTATGAGTCTTTATTTTACGTTAACTATGTACATGGCTTTATGTTTAGCATGCCAACTAACGAAGATTTTAGTACGCCAAAAATGTTTTTATATGTTTGCACGCCGAACGCCGAAAGAACCTCTTACGCCGAAAAAACCTCTTTAGGAACGCCGAAGATCTTTGGGCCTAAGTACATGGAATGAACCCTGGGGATCATAGTCAATAAAAAGGAGGACTATTGACCAAAGTCCTCCTTTCTATTGACTATGCTTGGATGTAGCTGTGAGTAATACTCTGCTTTACTTTGAAACTCTACTTTAGTAGTCTAAAAATGCTTTAAAGTCAATACATAGGGAAAGACATAGGCTTTGACGTTAAAGTCAATACATAGGGAAAGACATTGGCTTTGACGTTATCATACCTCAAGAGAAAAGCAATGAAAGAATTTGCCGTTCCGGGTTGATATCATCTATTCTGCATCTCGCTATCTACAGACATTTCCCAAAAATGGACGTCGGATTTGAAATCTTCATCTTGAAATTAGTTTATATTGAGAACTTCATGTTGTTTGGACCTTTCGGTCATGAGTCACTTTGTTTTGAATATTTAGATATTTCTTTAGATTTGACCGGAATTTGCTGCTGTAGCGAAAAAAATTTCACTAGAGCAACAAATTCCAATGGGATGTATAGGAAAAGCTAAATTTTGAAAATGGGGTAATTCGCTGTCTGGCGGCTTAAACAACATGAGATTTCGGCAGACTTCCAATTCCATGATCTATTTTTGGAAAATGCGAAAAACAATTGGTCGGAACATAGAATAAGACTTCAATTGCCTTATAAGCATCTTAAATAAAAATACACCGTAAAATAAGCTTGGAAATGAGAACAAATTTATTATATTTACTTCTCTCCTTGATCCTACACCAGTCACCTTCTCCAGAGTGAGTATTTTGTGCCTCTTATGTCGGATTACCAGGCATGGGCTGATCAAAACCCGACAAATTGACCATATTCTGATTTTCCCGCCCTTTCAATACGAGGCTCGTAAGCATTGCAGCGCAGCAGGGATGAATGCTTTCATTTAAAAGAGCGCGGGGGCTGCAGCCCCTAATTTTGCTAGATATTGGTCGATAAAATCCCCTGATGGTATGTGAAATAGAAATGAAACTGTTCTGCTGGTGAATTTTCTTTTCAGGAGCCTGACCCCCTAAGGAACCGCAACTTTGACGCTTATCAGAACAATACATCAATACTTAAAACGATTGCAAAAAAATCAACAAGGAACTTAGAACTCCTGCAGCCTCGATAGTTTTCAATACAAGGACTTCCGAGGCTGCCATTGAAGTAGCAACAATAATTTAATCTAATTAAATAATAATTCAATAATTTGAGTAAAAATCTACAAAGATTGTCGTTTAGACTTTATATTTTTTCATTTAGAAAAAACACGTTAATAGCGATAACTGAAAACACATTTGTAAATATTTCATAATTCACATTGTCATGTTCACTCGTGTCAAATTGCCATATTCTCAAGAAAAAACAAGGATGGCCTGGGGCAGGGAAGCCTGCACTCGAAGAGGGCAACGGGGGCAAAGCACAAAACAATTAAAGAACAAAGAAAAAAGGCAAAGCAATTATAAAACGAAAAAAGTGATCAATTTTACAAGGGCAATGGGGGCCACTGCTCCCACTGCCCTCTGGCGAAGGCACCGTTGCCTGGGGGGGGGTTTGTTTCAAGCAAATTTGAGAATTTGGTCCTGTCAATGGATAAAATCCAACAATGCTAATTCACTTAAGACTGTTTCAAAGTTTAAGATGTATTTTTGCATTGTCAAACTAGAAAAGACTCGTTTATTCGAGTAAATCACAATCTTTTTCCAAATAAATGGTAAAAGATCAGAGATGAAGTAGTAGACGCTAATATTTTCTGCAGTTGTTTCCTTACAACAATACAATATTTCAAAATATTTTATATAAGTTTAGTTTGTCACGTGTCTAGGTTCAGATTAGAGTTATATACCACAAAATTATCTCCAGAAAAACTAAGTGGAACATGAATAAAACTTATAAGAAAAGATATTTCTATCTTGTTCAATGTTGGTAGCTGTAGAATACGTCTGTGTTCAAGTCTCTTCCAGTCTTCTAATAGCAACTCAGATTTGAGCAAAGCGTTTCTTTTTAAGACATCGATCAATAAAAATTTATACACAAAAGAATAAAAGTAAAATGGTATTTCTTTTAGGAAACGCCTGACTTCCAATCAACGCCTTTCCCCATAAAAGTGAAAATGAAAGCTTCACTGAAATAAACGCCGCACACATTGATATTTAGATTCATGGCACATGGTTCCTGTACACATTGAATTCTACTGTCAGATACACCTATGCTATTCAGTTGTTACGTAAAAGTCGTCGATTGATCTCTGGTTACAAGGCAGGGGGCAAATAAGTTGTGTTAAAGTTTCCTCCCTAACCCCCTAGTTTTCTCCCGAATAAATTAATATCTGGACGTATAAATATCGTTTTAACGAGAATAGCTTTATAGGCTAAAAATTAAATTGTCAAAACCAATCACCCTGGCTTATCTATCAAATATTATCCCTGGGCAATATGTTAAGTACAATATTTTAATTTGCTCATGAACACCTTCCTATAATAAACAAATCATAGACTCGCTAAAATTTTAAAAACCACAGTATTTAATTAAGAAAAAAAAATAATAAGAGATATTTTGATAAATAATTCTGAGATGCGTGGTTAGGTACATAGGAACAATAAGAATAAAATATAGAAGTAATAACAATTTAAATGGAAAAGTCCTTCAAACACTTGCGACGTTTAGAAACTTCTTCATTTTGTATAATTTCTGCTGTGTAATCTCAGACCTGTTGCGCAACATCTTGAGGTGGTGGTACCTCCATTGAAGCTTCGTTAAGGTCATCCGGTTGGAAGGCGATCTGAAATAAAAATTTCCATTTTAAGACAAAGCAAATTTAGTTGAACTTTCATTAGGGGCTCCCTGTAGGATCAAGTTACAAGACGATGTAGAGAGATTTCCAGTTCCTAGAGCTTTTTGGAAAAAGATGCGAGAGAAAATTTGATGTTTACAGGGTACTGCTATTGAAGCAAAATAAGCTATATAATGTTTGTAGGTTTCTGCTTCAAAAAAGAAATCCGTCAATTGATGTAATTGTAATACATCATGTGGAAAGACGTGAGGAAGACTGCATTCGATTTGGTTGGCCTATACCAAAATAAGGAAGGTCGAAATGAATTTTTAGAGCTCTTTCACGTCTCCCAGGCTGGAAATCTGATTGGTCAAGACAAAACAAAACCTCGATTAAGGGTCAGTCATACAAAAAGTTGAGTTTAAAGTCAACCAGCATTGATTTTGGACTTACGTAACAGATATGTGCAAGCTTGCCTTAAGAAATCTTTCTCGACACCAGTGGCCCTTAAGCCCTTAAGAAAGATTTGGGCCCTTAAGAAAGCTATGCTCGGGGACCCTTGTGCAATGTTATATTTTCCAAAAAAATAACAAAACAAATATAAAAAATAAAAAAAACAAGAAAAACACTTTGTTGGATCAAAAGATTGAAGGATCAACGAGGAACAAAACAATTTCAGATAGTAAATAAATCCGAAAGATTTTAATGATCCGGCAACCACTCAAAATCAATGGACATGCTTATCTACGGGCATTCGATCTCTATCGCCAATGTGTCGTTTAGCCAACTTGTATTTTTCGATGGAAAGAGCACGTCAAAAGAATAAAAATGGAGGAGCAAAAATCAATAAACTGAAATTTGATTTAGTGGTTGAGAATCTTTAATGTTTCCTGGTATAAAAAAGTAGGTATGCTGGAGGCCTGACACATTTTGATTTTATTGAAGTTGAATTCAAAGCAGCTAACCTCAAAAGGACGGCTCACGCCAAGAAAAGCATTAAGTTTTCTGCTGAAATAGGCCAGTTGATAAGTGCCATGGTCTTCTGGAACGTCATCGAAAAGAATCATACAGCCATCATTTCCAGTTACATCTGCTCCAGACAACGACCATTCGTATGTATAGTAGTCAGTTGAATGGGCAAAATCCGTCTAGAAATTGAAATAGGAAGCAACATAAAATCTACTGAACAAATTATGCAAAACGTTTACTATGTGCAAATTACATGCCGACTCAAAATTCAATGTACGAATAACATCCTATCGTGATAGCAAATAGAGAGATAATCATAAGAGACAATCGTATTAATCAGAGTGCTTCATATAAAATTATGATTGTAGTGCTTAATTCATGACAACATTTTTCAAAATAAATCCTTATTCCAAAAGTTAGCCAATTTTCAAGATACCTACAGAAGGCCGAAATAAAATGGCAGTTACTAGAAGGAATAAGTAGAAGCTGGGAGTTATCATCCAAATGCCCTTTTACTCAAGCCTGCCCCCCTTGCCCCTTGGTCGTTCCGGCGTCCCGGGTAACAACAACTGCCATAGAAAGTTTTTTGGGGGTATCTAAGCTTGGTTCATGTGAGCTGAGACGATAATCATAGCCTTTCCTTTGCTTAAGCTAATGGTGGCTTTTATTGAAATTCTTTACATAGGAAAAGTGGATTGTCAGAGAGAACCCTTGTCTAAGCAAACAGTGTTCCATGGTTTTTTCACCTGAGTTAGGTTACTGTGGTGGTCACCTGGTCAACAACTGTGAGGAAGGACAGTAAAAAAACCAAAGTTAAACATCAAACTGCTTTTTTGCTTTCATTGTTTTCTTAGGAAGCTTTCATACTTCAGGTTATGTTTTGAGAAAACATTTTTGTTTTGTTTTGAGAAAAAAAGAAACCTCGCTGGAATCTGGTGGTGTGAAGATGAGGGTGTAGTAAATGAGAGTATCCTAACTATGACTCGAATCAAAAGTCTCGTCCACATTCTTCTGCGCGGTAGCCAAGTGTCCTAATCACATTGACCCTAGCCAGTTTTTCCACTAGGCTACTATGCCAAAAGAACTTGAAACAGAAAGACCTATTGAGAAATGCTTGGTGTAAGCAAATAATCTATTAATCTACCCTGAACAGGCCAATCCAGTCCCAGCTTGAAGTTTCGTAATCCTTTACATGGAAAATACAGACAGCATCCTGAAGGAGGTAAAAAGATTTATTAAGTTTAAGCGATTAAATTTTTATCAAGATTGTCAGGCAAATCATCAGACAATATTAAAAGTCAATGTAAAATATTTGAGCCTCCTTGAAACCTTTAAATATAAATATATAAGGTTAACTGTATCTTTTTGCGTTTTTTGAAGAAGGGCACCATGGTATGATAAAATATATTTAGCATATTTATGAGTGGGAATCTACTGTTTCTGCTTTGAATATCGAACAATAGTGATTTAAACTGTACGACTGCTAATTACCTGACATTGAAGAGAAATAGAGAGGTTTTTAAGAAACCTTACGAAAAAGTATACTACAGTAGAATCCCGTTATAACGTACTCGGTTATTACGTACTTTCGGATATAACGTACTGGTGTGCTTGGTCCCGGATAAAGGTGTGCTTGGTTTTAATCAATTTTTACTTACCCTCGTTATAACCGGATTATACTGTATTTGAGTCAAATAAAGAAGAAAGAGAAGTTAGGTACAAACGAACCTCTTCAGTAGTCCATGGCTCGTGCTCTGAATCTAATGTAAACTTTAATACTGGTTCTGCTGTTTCCACGGCCTAAAAATTGTAACACGACAAACAATATAAAAACATTAGAATAGTGGTGACCTACAGTATCTACCAAAGGTTGTTGAACACAAAGAGCATTTTGTTGTTCACGTTAGCAGTTTTCCTTTACCTACTTCTAACAATGCTGAATAACACGCCATAGAAATACACTTTTCAAAAGTAACCTGTATTTTAGAAATAGGACGGCAACTCATATGTTCGTATAGGAGTAGATTGCAAATAGATTAATAATTGATTGAAACTGTATGGGTACTCTAAATACTTTTGGCAAACATTGTAGGCTATTTAAAAACTTACGCAGCGAAACAGCAACATAACGATTCTTACATATCAAAATTTTATATCATCTTTAAGCTAAAATATTACTACGGCTTTCCAACAAGAAACAGACAGTGTCTCTTGGAGCTATAGAAGCAGACATCCATACTTATAAACTTTGAACAGCAAAGACTTAAACAGTTCAGATAACAGCAATTTAGTGTCAAATTCTAATATCAGGCACGATTTCGTCTGATTTAAAAATCTAAATTTCAGAATAGTGAAGATCACAATGAATCGGTCGGTTACAGCGTGTCCAATGCCGTATAAAACGAGCTTCACTCGCACTGGTGTAAGAAACAGATGATTCTAAGTAGCTACACCGCAAATACTTCACATCAAATGAAGCATGTGCTTGTAAAACTTTCGTTCTTGTGATATGTGACATTTTAAATTCCCTTCATTATCTTTTTTTATGAATTGTAGTCTTAAAAATTTCCAATAAACTGATGTTTTATTCAAAGAATATTTTCAGATGTTTTTGTCTACGTATCACGCAATCAGAAAAATTCTGAAAGAACAGGTATGTACAAAAGAATATTACCTCAAGTTTGATCGAGAATTCCGCTCTAACAGGCTTGTGATCTGAACTAGTGTATGAATCTAAAGACGTATATGAGTAGAGTTGTACACAAGGATCCCCAGCTGGCTTCTCTTTCCAAAGAACTCTGTCACACCAGGCAGGTTTCCTTAACTTTTCGCTGCGAAAAAAGTAGCCAACCCATTTTCTAGATCAGAGAGATATGTTTGATGGCCTCATAAACATTTGCACAATCATCCACATCAAGTTATGATTATGATTTAAGCTATTACTACTTAAGCTTTTACAACTGACAACTAACAATAGCAAAAACGAGAAACCGTAACAACGAACATTGCCATATAAAAAGACTATACCTTGCAAACAGCTTAGGTATAGGCAATAAGTGCAGGAGAGAAAAATTGCTTCGAAACAACAACTCCGAATACATCTTTTAAACCAAGGGTCAGACCTGGATCTGAGGGAACTTCTTTGGCACTGTAAGAACATACTCTGATAATTTAGCACTAGCATTTGATTTGTACAAGGCCAAAGCCAATAATCATTTGAACAAAAATCATCCTATACTATTTCAAAAGGGGTACTTTCTCTTTCCTCGTTTAGGCTTTGACCACAAGAACAATCGCATTTTTTTGAATAGAAAGCATTTTTTGAATAGAAAGCATTTTTTTGAATAGACATAAACAATGGCATGATTGTCTTCAGCTGATGTCACTGAAACAAGTTGATGTTATATGCTGGGGCCCCAAAATGAAATATATACGAGAAAATAACTTTTTCAGCTTAGAATGAAAATTAAATTTTGACTGGTTAAAGAAGTACCTTCAGAAAACAATAAAAAGGTTCGAGTTTACACAATTAAGTATCATGCGAGAAGTGACAACAACAAGATGTTGGTGGTTCCTAGAACTGAATTTGAAGAGAAAATATGTTACCTCGTATCAAAGTTATTTGTCCCTAAATCGTACTTGTAAGTCGGCGAGAAACTTATGGTTCCTTCTTCAAAACCTTCAAAGCATTTGCCAGCCTTCTTGCTTTTAACAAGCTTAAAAGGAAAGATAGATTTATTGAGATTAAAATAATTTCTCAAGAAAGTTTGGTTTCATACTTTAATTTTGATGGGACAGGTAAGGTGGGTTGGGTTGAAAGACGTGGTGTTGGTTTGTGTAAATACTGGTCAATATATTCTACCCGGCTATGGGTGCCTGTAGGAACAATTGTGATCAGTATTTCAGATGCCTGTTCGCTGCTTGCTGAGTGGACAGAAAAGTGACACTGAATTCTACTTTCGAGCCGAGAGCTGAGCTTAGATTCTTTCGCATAGAAGGCTAGCACGCTAGCTGCTGCGCCATCATAGCACCTTTTAATACAGCGGTATTCTATTAACCAAGATATGCTTAGTATCTCTCAACTTCTGGTGAAATCAGAATGTAAAAATCCTACAAGGAAGTCACTTTAAAAACAAAAAAATGATTGACTGGATAAGCAAGAGGGTTTTCTTGGCTTTATAAAAAAGGCTTTTTTGTTTTACTGCATTATCTCCGCGAATAATTACCAAATCATATCAAATAACATTCAATTGTAGTTGACAAAAAAGTTGTCTTTTTAATATTTATACCAAAAAGGCGCATTGTAATTAAACATTTTCTAATGGCTCCAAACGGCAACAATAGAGAGAATAAACGTAAGGTAGACAGCATGAAAAACATATATAACGGATTCAGTTGTATTCGTAGCAGAAATTTCCCAGCACCGCGGAACATTATCAACAATAAGAGGCGATTTTGCTTTTGAAGTTATAACATATGGCCAAATTAAAGAGAATCCATCAAGCAAAAAAAAGTTTGGCATTACTTTACCAGGGTTTTTATTAATTTTTAAAGTAGAAGGCTCGCATTTAGAAGTAGGCATTTATAAGTTTACTAAAATTTGTTCAGTCTTACTAAAGTGAGGGTGAAAGTAGGCGGCGACGGTTTGGTTAGTAAGCGGCGGACATTCGCCGGTTGTTGGCTCCTAATGAAATCACCCCTGTTTTACCCATCAAAACAAAATATGCGTAAAGGTCTGTTAAAAGAAGTGGGCAGTATCAAAGTACACGTGATCAAATGTAGGCCTACAGAAATGTTATCAAAAGTAGGCATCATCGAAATAAACATTACAAAAAGTACACCTAGAGGCTCGGGAAATTATTACGATACTAGTCATAACTTCGATTTGGTCATAACATATGTCACCTGGTCATAGCTTAGCAAGACTGGTACTTGGCTTTCTTTGACGTAATCTTTGACCACATCGATATCCAGTTCATCGATTCGGTAGTTTAAGTCACCAAAAAAGAAAACAAATCTGGAATAAAAAGGAAAAGGAACTTTAGCATAAAATTTTGAAAATTGAATATCGATTTCAAAACATCGAGGTACGGTCAAACTATCGAGCATTGTCATATGACATTCGTGTTTCACAAAAAGCACAAAATTTTTTCCTAGTTTGGCCAAAATTGTCACAAGGTGAAATCAATCAAACTTTGTAACACAAACGTTTGACAATCATCAAACATTTCGCACGATCTTATCTCATATGGGACAATGTTTTGCTTGATGTGGTCGGTCAATTCAAATCAATGTTGGGGAAATTAATACGGAGAGATACACTGTTCTGTGCACAGTGAATCGCAAAAATCAGATCGCCAAGTTGTCAGACAGGTTTTGACAACGGCAATTTAATTAATGAAAAAAAATGTTTTTCCTCCTTGCAAAAATGTCATACAAGAAGGTTTAGTTTTGCCGCACTTTTAGGACGCTTTTCGGAGCGTGTGCTTTTTCTCTCGACAACATTTCAAATCACACTAACAACATTTGCTCAATAATACAGACTCTGTTTCCATGGCTTTACCTATTACCTGAGCTTTGGCCTCATAAGTACAGCCTAGTCCCATATCAAATCATTGCAATTTGGTCTCTGATCATAACTTTATGAACACAGTCAAAACAACAGCAAGCCGTTAGGAAATTTTAAACTTTCATTGGCCATAACTTTTAACATACTCTGATGACTTTGCATATTTAGAGGTAGTTCGTGATGTCTTTTCATGTTATGTGATGAAAGGAAAAAAGACTTAAAGGTTTGCGTTATTAAAAGCATATGCAATTCGAAAAATATATTCCCATGACGTCACATTCTATTTGGATAAACGTTTTTATCCTACACTTCAAACTACTTATTACATTACAACAACACAAGATTACCAAGACGATACCATTAGGAGCAAAATTGCACGACTACCAAAATTCAGTTACATAGAAAACAAAAACAATGAAAACAGCCGGAGCAATATGTTAGAGATAAATGCACAAGGTGTAACTAAAAGTTAATCTTTTGGGGAAACTAGGGTATTTAAGGGGGGAGTATGTCTTTATTCGGGCGTTCTGATTCCAGAATGAATTTAATCGTTAAGTTCAAAATAAATGAGTTCACTTCCAAAAAATGTTAATCCCCTTAAAACAGAGGCTGGAGAAAATTTTTTTTCTTAGGTTCAGTTTGGAGCACATCATTAAGACGAGCAAAAAGACTACCGATTCTGTCCTCTATTAGAATTGCAATGCAGCAAGAAGTGTTCCGTATCTTCAATGTCATCATTTATTGGACACATTGGAAAGATGGACACATTGGATAGTGACTGTGCCATTGAAACTGTGTTTATATATGTGTTAGTTGAGTATGATTGAAAATTGATTAACGTTTCATCTCTGGTAGAACAAGGAGGGCAGTGATTCGTTTCGTTTACTCTGATGAAGCCCTGGGTGCTGGGGCGAAATATTAGTATTCGTTAAATTTAATTTACTTTGAAAATTTATCTTATTACATTGGGTTCTAGTCGCCGTTTTGGTTTGTTCCTGAATTTTATCTTCGCATTTCTATTATACTCCTGGCAAGATTCACAGAATCCTGCGGACAGCCTATCCTGTGGTTCTTCCTTCACACACAGAGATTCAAGCCCTGTGGTAAAACCTTCCACGGGTAAGTGGTAAACAGACCCTTTACTTTCTAAGGTTCTCTACAGTTTTCAATAGTCTGCACAGTCAAGTGGCCGGTTTAATTATAAGCAAAAGCATATAGGGAATTTATTATGATCCTTGATATATCGGTACAGATTACGACAGCAAATGCATTACTTAACTATTAGCCAGCTGCAAGATAAGTACGCAAAAATGGTCGGCTACTGAATAATTTAAGTATTGTAAACACGGCGAAGCTTTTTTACTTAGCTAAATCTTAATTGACATTCAAAAGTGTTAGCAAACAATTTGTCTTGAGCGTAATCGCAAGAGCCTTACCACCTGCAAGGCAGTTATATCAGAAGGCAATCATAATTCTGTCTTCTTTTAGATACAGCAGATATCGTCTATTTAGCCATAAAGAGTACGTCTTAATCAATTGATATTTGAAGGTATATTTTAAACTGAACCAAAGAAAAAGATAAGATTAAACTTTCTATAAAAGCAGAAGAAACAAACATTTCACGAACACCACCTTCAATAATACCAAAGGGAAGGATCAACTTGTAGTGCTTTTGACAGTAACTGGCCGGCGAGAGATGCTCCTAGAGATGGTTTAGTATTACGCATTCTGAAAACAACAAGGCTCTTATTAATATTAATGGTTCTTCTGCGGATTTTTACGCGTTCCAGTGTGAATCGGCAACAGTTTATGGCTTTTAGAATGTGGATGCGGTTCTATAAAAATATGCAGTCAATAGATATTTAATAAGGTTTGGAGTAGAACAACTGCTTTTTTCTTTAAAGGAGAGTGAGAACCAAAAAGCAATGTTTTGCCTTTCTCATATAGGCGGGTAATTAGCTGCTTTGTGCAACGACACGTTTTGCCATCGCAGCTGCGCCTTTTCATTGCACATTGCGACTTCATGCTGATTTTTGCACGGTTTTGCAGCTTTTGAATCCCCTTTAATAGGCCCCCAGTGATGGTCAGGTAAAAAATAGAGAAAGGGAGATTTTGAATTGATCAAATTCAAAGCCACTTACCGATGATCAAGCACTCGCGGTGTGCCACAGTCAGGAAAATAAATTCTTTTGATAATGCTGTTGTATTCCTGTAAAATGACAAATTTTGACTGAGATAACCAAAAAATGAACACTATCAGTTCATTACAACATTTGGCAATAAGTGTAATGTCATTTAGCGGGACCTTGTGATAAGCCCACGTATCAATGTGAAAAGTATGGCCTTTGTGTGACTGTCTCTAAAAGGCCTGTCATGAAAGGTTTACATCATTTTCCGAGTGAGAAAATCCAGCATTTTTAAGGATAAATTGTCGCAAACATTATCGACCTTTGTTTAGCTAATAATGAATACTAGTAGAGGACGAACAAGGTCGGTTCATTAAACATTCAAAGATTGTTTTGTTATTTTGAAGTTTGATCAATTTGGGTTACACCCTACCTGATTTCTATAATCTGCATATTCATCACCTGCAGTCAGGTGTGCATTGACAAAGCAAAAACTTTCACCATATAAATCTACTCTAACAGCTACACCGCCTTTGGAACCCTATGAAGAAAATTGTAAGCAAACTCGAAAGAAGGCATACAGTTACAAGTATGTGGATTTTAGAAATTATTCTGCTGGAATCGTTAGATAATCTTTTTGCTAGAAACTTAACTTTTCATACTTTAAAATCACTAACATTTAAAGCAAAAATATTCAATAAGGATGCTGTTATACTGTTACACTGTTAAAACACTAAATTCCTTTAGGAAGAGCCTTTGCAGTTATTCTGCAACACCGAGTTTCATGCAGAATATGGTGGTTGTCAGAAAAGCTGCCGTTTTGCAAGCAGCCATATGGCAGAAATATAGTTAGCGAAAGACAAAGACAAAAGATGCCATCATGCCAAACCTTTGATTGAAAACAAACATTATAAAATTATAAATATCAAGCAATAAAAAGTACAATAAAAGCATGCTTGACACGTGTGTTATTGTCTGAAACTTGCTACTGTGCCGTGCACCGCAAAAGATTTCTTATTCATGTGCATAACTTTTGCAAAAAGCGAATCAGATGTTTTTTGTGCCGTGCCTTACTTATATGTTAAAATCCAAACTAAAATGTTTACCTATTCACCTTACAAGACACCTTTGTGAAATATTTTCCGTTTACTTTGGTCATTACCCGACGTTTATACTCTGAGGACTAACAGTACTAAGTAGGCTAAGCTTCCACTTTTATATATGCTATCTTCATACATTTCCTTTTAACTATACTCTGCTCCTAGTTTGGAAGGCCAAAGCATTAATAACATCAAACTAGCGAACTCTACAATGCTTTTATATGCCAGTAAAAAGAAAAAAAATCAAATGAACCTAACCTATTTTAATAGTACCAAAAGAAATTTGTAAACTCCTTACACTTACCAACAAGCCCCATAATGCTGTTCTTACAAAACTTGTTCTCCTATTTCGTATGAAAGGCAGGTGCTTTGAGTTGACGGCAATAATCAACAACATGCCAATCATACGAATTTTCTCGATCTAAAATAAAAGAAAACTAGGTGCTTCAAATGACCATTAAACACAGCTTTAAGTAAGTGCTAAAGAAACAAGATGATAATGCCATTGAAGACATGATTATGACATAAAATTTGCGACAGGAAAACACATACCATTACAATTCCATGACATCTAAGAAAAGCAAGAAGTCTTTGGGTCCATGGATCAATTCTTACATAATAATCCAAAAGTAGGGACTGAGGATCATAAGGAACTTCTTGCAACCTAAAACAATACATTGCTGGTCAGTAATAGTGCCGTGTACAGTTGTATAGAGGCAAAACTTGAGGCAAAGGCCCACAGCAAAGCAGGGGCGGATACAAAATAAAGGTTTACGGTCGCACATTAACACTGCCCAGCAGGCGGTCTAGGGGGCCTTCCTCATTGTTAAGGGCGGAGCCATGATGGGGGCCCAGCCCCCCCAGAACCAGAGCAATTAGGATTGGGGCCCTGAAACGTTCAAACTGTTCAGTCAAACATTTTTCCCTTTAAAAGGTTTTCAAAATTTTCCAGCAAATCCAACACGCAGTTGAAAAAAAATATTTTGAGATTCAGAAGTGTACACTTCCTGTGCACCTCTTCTGTATAGAAAAAGAAAATTGGGACTTTTCCCTTTCCCAACTTACAACCTCATCCACTTTCTTCCCTTGCCAGAAGTGGTGCGGCACAGTAATCTAACATAGTGTTTACAGACTTTTCGTGCTGCACAAATATGTGAAAACTTGAGTTTTGATTGGTGAGATTTGTCAAAATATTTGCATAACAAAGAGCCCTGCATATTTGTGTGGCACAGGCGACATGCTTAAAAATCATACTGTTTACGGTCTAGGATGGAATTGGAATTTTTTTCTATATTGAATTAAATTGTAGCATTGTGTGTTAGATCGACCAAGTTCGGTCCTGTGTTTATTGTGTAAAGAGAGCAAAATGTATTATCTGTAAGGAGGAAAATAAAAGATTGTGGTAAACATGATTGCCTTATTTCAATGACTAAAGACTAAAACTAAATTCTGAAAATCTGACGGTCTTCCATGCGACCTGTCTGACACCCTGAATCCGCCCCTGCAGCAAAGTCAATGTTGGAAGAAACATCTTAATGTGGCTTTATACATAAAAGCAAAAAGGCCAATATTGTGAAGACAGAAGGAGTTTCCTTGGACTTCAGTGGAATCTTTTCTACAGGCTGGCATGTGGTAGTGATTGGACAACTATACCGGTCATGTGCTCGCATTCTTCTGTTTGGCCTATTTCAATCCACACCTTGGTGTATATTTTACATCTTGTTCATTTGGCCCCTTATTCTGATGTTTTACATTCTGAGGAGTGTCAGATAAATTATTTTTTAGTGTGCAAGTTTGCTTTTTTCAAAGAAATTTTGAAATTTTGTAGCACCAAAAAATTGTAGACATCTTAATGTACATAGTATATATTATCGGTAAATTACAAAAAGGGGAATTCTAGCTCATAACTGATTGCAATAATCCGGATGAAAAAGAAGGCAGTCTATAATCGACAAAAAGAGCAAGTTTATGCCATCAAAAATTCAAAGGCTTGGGAGCTGATAAACATCTGTCACTTGAAAGAAACCCTGTTTGACTTAACATTTGCAATGTTTATGGAAGGACATTTTACAGCATCTGAAGGGGTGGCAAGCTGGATTGTTTGTTGACTTTGCCCCTCCCCTTCCTCCTCCTCTCTCTCCCCCTCCCCCTCCCCCTCCTCCCCCTCCCCAAAGCAAAACACTGGTTACATTATACTAATTATAAAGTGTGTTCATCCCTATCTAGCAGTCCAGTTGGATCCTGCACATTACACTATTATCTTTACAATTGCATCACTAACTCCAGAATTTTCTTGCATTTTTTCAGGTACCAAAAAACGAGGTAATAGAGTTTTGCTCCCTATGAATTCTTGCCTCCCATCCAAGAAAATGTCATCCCTGCAAACATGAAGTAAGTCTGAGGTGAATTCTTTGCATTCAGTATGTAAAATTTTCAGGCATAAAATTAAGTTAAATACTTGCCCAATGGCATAAATGTCAGCTGGTTCTTCATCTTCATATAGATTTAGCCATGGGAAAAGATTGTCATCTTTGTTTGGTGGTAAAATATTTACATTCCAACTGCAAATGCAACACCTGATAATGAAGATACAGAATTGATAAAGAAAAATCACAAAATACCAGACATAATGATAATAAACAATGAATAGGGGTATAAGGTATTGGATAATAAGGAGATATTATCTGTCATTCTATTTATTTATAGCAAATCTCAAGATTGAAAACATAAGGATTTGATATTGCATTAACAGGCCTGGCCACTTGAGGAGAGCCATAGCTCTTGCTCCTTTATCATCCAGAAAACTCGTCCTATTCTACCATGCATCATGTCGTAATAGAAGCTTTTAGATATTTAAAGTTTTGCATTTGTTTTCCTTCTTTATATTTGAATTTGCTACCTAGTATCTTAAGGTAGTTTTTAGGACACTGAGAAGCAGTTCTAATCAAGCAGAGTTGTGCCTCTTGATGTGCCCATACCTTGTGATCCTACAATAATTTGTAATTAAGATAACAAAAGATAAAATAACATTAACAGATAACTAACAACATTAACATTTAAGTCAAATTCATAACTACACTAAAAACGTATTACAGTTAAGCAAAAGGGTGTGATGAGCAGATGCTTGATAAGAAAGGGAAACAGTAAATATTACCTGTGAAATGTTTTCTTAAATTTTACCGACCAGTAAAGAAAAGGTCCTTTTAGAAAACGATTAGATCTACATCTATCTATCTAGGTACTTTTCCATAAAGTCTAATGTCCAAATCAAGCAAAAAAACATTTCTAACAGTGTAAGAGTATAATTTTATCTTTCTCAATAGCATGATTGGCTGTTGTTGTTTCACTTTTATTTTATGGTTTTTATACATAACTATGAGGTAGAGCACTGGGAAATGTCTACAGTAAGCTATTATATAGCCTCAGTTTATATCCTTTCAATCAAATTTCATGTGCTGCTGATCATCCCCTATAGCTTGTGAGTTAAAAAGTGCCTGAGCTGCAAAGGCTGACATTGATTATTAATAACCCTTACATAGAATAGTAAAATATAGTGTTCTCGTTTTTCTAGGCTCTCATTCACCTTAGCCAATCTGTCAAACAGTTTACTCTTCAGAAAACACCTTTATGTGTGTTCTTTAGTGTTGTCACAAACTATGAGAAAAATTTATTTATCCTGCAGGAGTTTACAGCAAAACGTCAACCAAGTTGTTGTTTATTGATTATTTATTTATATTTCTAAAAAAGGTAATGAGCTATTGAATATTAGACTACATATAAAAGTAAATAAACATACACTTACCTTAAAGACATTTTTGAATCTTTTCAAAACAACAACAATAAACTGGTTGGTGATAAAATTATTGGCCAGTGGCACGAGCCAAGGTTGATTGATGGCTGTCTCCACCTAAATTATACAATGTTTGGCTGGACTTCCTTCATTCACCAGTGACTAAACCAAGTCCTGAAAACTTGCTGCTTCTGTGAATAGCTTGAGCGGCTTAATAAATCAAATGAATCTCTTGCAAAAGATAGCAAGCCTTCTACGCTGGGAACGGACTTTGACAGATTCTGTGGCTTTTTTTTGATTTTTTGCAGGTACTTTAATGTTTGGTTCGGTGAATTTTCGCGTGATGTTGAGGTGTCCAAACTGACAACCCTAAAAACAAATGGCTTCGAAATGAGACTAAGATTCATACACGAAATGTTTGAGATTCGATTGCCAACGACCCGCCAGTAAGCAGCTGCAAATTTATTACCGGTTGACACTTCTTCAGTACATCTTCGCTCACCAAAACATGTTTCGTGATTCAAATACAGAATGAAACCTCGTTTATAGATATGCACCTGTTGGCCTCCTTTTCACCTTTGTTTTTTTTAGATACAGACCAAGTGTTGCCATACGTAAGAATTTCTACCTACTGTACTTTGGGGATTTTCAGAAGTTTATAGATTGTAGGGAAAACGTGCGGGATAAATCAAGAAAAGTAGGTAGTTTTCTGGAAATTGTAGAGATTTATATTTGTTTGAGGCCAAGCAATTAGATTGCTTGCTTTCCATAGCTTTGAACATCGATTTCCACTGACTTTTCATGCAAATGCAAGAAGTAAGATATTCCGCAAAAAGACACGAAACCATATTTTACTTCAAAGTAATATCTTACAAAAGCATTACTTTTTATAGTTGAACAATTTTTCGCTCCTCAATCTTTATGGCTTTTTAAACTGACTTTCGCTGAAAGTTGTTCTTAGAAGCAATGGTGGACGTGGGTAAAAACGTAGGGATATTTTGAAAAATGTAGGGATTTGAGGGGAGAATCCACGCTAACATGCGTAGGTGGAAGTAGGTAGAAATCGCCTGTGCAGTAGGGAGAAACGATGAGTCGAGCGTGGCAACACTGTACAGACCATTGAGATTTTACCGTAATGCCTCGAATAAGTGCCCCCTTCAAATAAGCGCCCCCTCGAATAAGCACCCACCCAAGATGTGAAACTATTAAAAAAGCGCCCCCCTAAAATAAGTGCCCATCCCTCGAATAAGCGTCTATCCTAAAAACCCGTGCAATATCATATTACCCTTGGCTTTTGGAATGTCTAGTCTCCAAACCTTTCAGCCTCCGAGCACAATGACAAATTATTATGATCAAAATAAGACTCACTGAAGAAACATATTACTTCAAGAGCCTTATACATTTCTCAGCCACAAAGATATCATCTGTGGCAAGGAAGAAAATTAAGGGATAAACTAGAAACGAAGAGTCCTAAAGCTTACTGTGAATATCACTTCACTACGTAGCTTAAGTCTCAATTATGACAAATTTTACTTCCAGAGAGTATTTACTTTGTTTTAGCCATGTCATTTGCAATGATTTTATACTGCAATATTACGATTGAAAATTTGTTTGCTCTATCATTCCATCTTTTTTGCTTTTAGCTGAAATAAGAAATTTCTTAATTAAATCTTTGAAAATATTGTTATGGTGTATACACAACAGTAAATCGTTACTGGTTGCCTGCTATTAATGTGAAAAGGACTTGGGAAAGAAAAACAACATTTTAAAATGGAAAAAATTATTCGAGCAAAAAGACATAAAATGCATAGCATTACTTTTGATGACAAAATCAAAAATTTTCAGCAAAAATAAAAAAATGAGCAAAAAGGCTTTCAATGTTATTGGCAGCGACTCAGCCAGGGATGAGAAATTTCATCATCTTTATGCAATCAATTCCCTTCGCTCTAAAACAATAGAAAATTGATAGTATTTTTTTACTCTCTCTCATACGGGTGAAGAAAGAAAGTGTTTTAACTGGTTTTGTGTAATAGGCAAAGCGATAGAAATGTAGAAAAATTAAAAAACTTGATCTGTAAATGCAAAAATAAGATATTGGAAAACTTGACTGTGATTGGAGAGAAGCTGAGAGAACTGACGTGATTTTTAGTACCTCAGGTGGGGGGGGGGGGTATTCTAGAGATAAGCACAACGTTTTGAACGATTGCAATATTAAAATGACTGTAAGAAATTTGCTGCATTGTATTTTAAGCTAATCTAAAATGCGCCGTTTATCTAGAAAGTCATTCACGTTCTTTAGACATTCCCCATGAAATATATACTAAAATGCTGAAATGCTTGAATCGTTAAAAACCTAGTAGCTGAAAATTTTTTAATTCCAAAAACTGGAAAACGTATGAGAAATTGTGAAGAAAAAAACCAGTTGTAAAATGAAAAGGTTGAGCCACAAAAAGCTACATATAAATTTTATTGTGTTTGATTAACCAACCATTGCGACCAAAAAATATTGGCTTTGTTCAAACATATTAACAAATTAGTGCATTTCCCAGATTATTAAGAGTGTGAGATGCAAACATTTTCCTGGGGGTAAATCCCCAGACCTCCTGTTATCGGACTATTCTTTGCCCCTCAGATCATTCAACCCCGGCTACGCCACTGCAAATTAGGCTACGTGTCTTGGTTTAAAATATTCATGAATGGTACAAGGGCTAGGAGATTTTTACTCGTGTTTGTTAATTGCCATGTGCTTTATACAAAGAATCAAAAGATTGCAAGATGTTTTGCCACTGATGTCGTTCAATAACAAGCTCTGAATTTGTTTTAGAAATATCTGTGAATATCTTAAAATATCTGTGAATTGCGTAAACAAAAGCGGTGCTAGCCACTAAGCTCTAGGAGGTGACAAAACAAAAAAAATTTACGCCATGCCCCTTTACCAACAGGGAACGCAAATTTTATCCGAAGGGGACGCCCATAGCTAACTTTTGGTTTCATAAAGGCAGGCTTAAAATCACAGGATTACATCACAAAAAGTGCGCTGTCAAAATATTACTCCTCCCCTACCATTCCTCATCAAATTTAGAGGAAATACAAAATTGATCCTTCCGAAAACAGGGGAGAGGGGTGAAGTATGCCCCCTTGGCGTCGCTACAGGAAGAATATCAAAATAAAATTTTTTTTCACCTCTTGGGCCAGATTCTTCGATAGGGAAATCTCCATGATCTTCCACTGCATCGCCTTTTAATCTAGGACGACATTTGCATTCTTTGTTCCCAAAGCAAAATCTTGCATCAATTACTTTGAAACATTTTCCCTTCCACAGCCAAACGCAACCAAAGTATGTGCCCGCGGGACACTCACAGTGGCAAACCCGTCTATAGCCACAAACCTTTTTCCAAAAGATTTTTCTACATCTCCATACATGCCTGCAAACTCTCCGTTTGCCACGTCTGCACCACCAGACCAATGGCCGGGGATCAGCTTTCGCTAAAATTTTCAAAGAAATGATACTTATCAGGCTTCAATTAATGAAGAAACATGGCTGACTGGCGACACAAGAATGGTAGCTCATAATTTACTCAAAAATTTTAAATGTAGTTGGTTAAAGAGAACAGCGACAAAGCTAGAAAATATATTTGATTCATTTACACAAACAAGCGATGCAAGGGACCAGAAAAAACTTGTGGTGCCGTTGAAGTCATCTGCGGGTAATGACAAGATAGAATAAAGAACTAAAATAGTTTAATTTAAACCCCTCGAATTACCTCCCTTTTCGCATCCCACTTTTTCGGTGGAACAGGCTTTGTTGTCCGAAACAAGACCACCTTTGACAAGAGCAAAACTTGGCAAGGCGGTGACCATGGCCTCCCCACTTTTTTCCGAAGCAAATGATTTCAAAGCTCCAATAAACGGTGAGAGAGGCCTTGAGCCCCCAATTTTGTTAGCTTTGCAAGCCCTTCCCGCCTCCCCGACCTCTTGTTGAAGATGGTCTTGTTTTGGACAACAGAAGAGTCCGTTGTTGAAAAGACTACGTCATATTCTGGGCGAAGTCACGTGACATTGTCTTCGTTATGTATTAGCACGCTACAGATTGTAGTTGGGACTCAGCGGTAATCAATATGTAATCAAGTAGTAAATAATTATGCTCAAATATATACGCTAAAGCTGTAAATTAGACGTTTTCCTTTGCACTTCTGATCCAAAATGCAAACTACACAACATGCGTTCCACCAAAAATCAGGATGCAAAAGGGAGGTAAATCGAGAGGTTTCAGTTAGACTATCTTAGTTCATTATCTTATCTTGGTAATACCAATAGGACTTACGGTAAAGTCATGGCACTTTTTTGGACTAATTGCATGTTAGAAATAGATCAAAGCATTCATAAAAGCACTACAATAACATTCAGCAATGATACATTTGCACGATTCGTTAAGATTTTGTTTGCAACTTCATTTAATCAACAATCGACAAACGCTTAATTGGCCGATAATCATCTCAACTGATTTAAACCAACAATTAAGAAAACAATAAATGAAGTAAATTATTTAGAAAAACTTAACTATAAATTGAAAACCGACATGCATGAACCAATATCATTTTTTGGTGACGTTCGTTTGGTTGTCAAGTAATGCCCAAAGCAAGCGTAAAGTAACAATCAGGGCCTCCGACAAGGGGGAGGGGTGGGGGGGTGGGGGCTACAGCCCTCCCACTTTCTTGCAAAAGCCCATGACAATGCTACATGTATTACCATGAAAGGGCAGACAGAAGCGTGTAAAAAAGAGAAACTTGAAAAGTTTCTTTCAGCTACTCTCTTCAGTGAATGGACGTCTCTTCTCTTCGGCAGCAAAGGAGGAAGAAGTTAAAAGGGCTAAAGGATCATACCGTTTTCTGCAGAACTGTAACCGTCTACCTCATTGTCATCCATCACATCTTCTTCAAAATCTTTCACTTCAGAATTAGACTGTTCCTCTTTTAAGAAAAAAGATTTAGGCTTCTTTCTGTGTTGTTTATACAACAGGAGACGAATTCATATAATGATTTCAAGCTTTTAACGGTACATTTTCAACAATTGAACGGTTCAAACGCCTCAAACATAATTGGAAATGGCCAATGATCCACGGATTAAAAAAACTGTGAGAGGCACGTAAGCGATCACAGTTACAATATGTTTAGGAATAGAAACAATGTTTTATTGTTATGAAGCCTAGTTATACAATGCAAACTAGAAAACGATCACTTTGAAAGTTTTTCATTGGCAGGCAAAAAAATTATTGCAAAACCACCTCCCTTGTTCTCTTGGTACAAAATTTATATCTTGGGTCAATATAATAAAACGTTAACATGTGTCACAATATGATAAGGTACAGGTTCGAAGTTGATACAGTCTATTTTTGTTGTGATGTCTATTTACACTATGGAAATAGAAAAATGTTAATATTAAAGCTTTTCTACCGGCATGTTAGGATATGATTCCCAAATTACTTAAAGTGTCCTTGGATAGAAATTCTACATTTAATGTCGAATTTAAATTTTTGCAGATGGTATTGTTCAAACGATTGAGAGAGAAAACATACCAGGGTCCTCTGCTTCGTCTCTGTAAGGCCATCTTGCATCATCCACAACATCTTCATTTGTGGACGGCAAAGCTATGATGATGGACAAAGGATATTTTGAACATGTAAGAGCAAATTGATACCTCAAATATAACAAAAAGACCTGAGACACAATATGGTTACTATAGGTTCAGAGTTGACACAGAGTTATCTTGTTGCAATGTCTATTTTGCAAAATTGAATCAGCATGCATGAATTAATTCCTAAATTTTTTCTTTAGATTGAAATTCTCATACTGCAAACTGTATTTTTCCCATCAAATATATTTTGCGTACACTTAGTGAGAAAAAGTTAAACACAGGCTGAGAATGAAACTGCGTCACTGCAGCAAAATTTTGATTTGTCTATGAATTCATGTCCGAAGTCTGAACGATATCCAAGTAGACTGGCTTCAGTTTCTGGAACCTTTATCTTTCACTTCTCCTGCTTTTTTGCTCATTTTGAATTGTAATTTGTGAGCTAACACTGAAAGCGAGGCTACCTTGCAGAATCCAGAAAAGTCCTTAACCCTCCTCCGGTCAAACTTTTTCCTGTTACAATCCCAACCTCAAATTTTTCAGGCTAATCAATGTGGAGAGACGTGGCTAGGGCGTGGCTAGGGCGTGGTTAGGGAGTGGCTAGGGTATAAGGGGTGACAGACGGAATGTATCAAGAAAATTGTGTTTATGTGGGTCGATGGTAATTATCGCCTATGATCAAACTTTGCTAGGATAACATTAAAAATATTACAGCTCAAGAATAATTTTTATTTTTAAATGTCGAAAAATAAAATCAATATAAACATGATAGTATATCAATTGAAAAATGTCAAAACCATGAAACACGAACAATATTCTTAATTCAGTTGGCTTTTTGGCGGTAAAAGGGCGCGGCCTAAACACTTTGCGTCGTTCACGCCACGAATCATCTCTGCAATAAATTAAATGTGTGTTTTAAAAGCGCAACGAAGAAACAAGTGCAAAATAAGTTGTCGCAATTGTTTTTTTCAAATTCTATTTAACCAGAACCTTTCTCCGAATTTCTATTATTTCTCAAACCTTCCTCCGGTCAATCACCGTACGACCGTAATGCTTTCTAGGCTCTGCTACATTCTTTGCAGGTATGGCCAAAATTGAACTTTTTATCTAAACTCTAGAGAACAGTCGCCTCTTAAAACACTTGCGAACAGTAGCATATTGACACACTTGCGAATAAGGAATGATTTTATAGGACTCTGTGAGATATATCTATCGATGTCAAGCCAAATGGACTTGTGATTTTCTTTTAACTGCTTGCTTGCTATTTAATGTTCTATGATGTTGTGATTTCTTTCCATTTTTCTTTTGCTCTTTCGTATTTTATCTCACATTTATGTCGAAAATATATATTCCTCTAGAATTTAACTCTTTGCGAACCAATCTGTTGAACTTTTTACGCTGCAACGTCAATGTTACGCTTGGATCTGAATCTAATGGGGTTACTTACCATGTTGTTAAACCAGCGCGCCACATTTTGCTTACGGCCCTAAAGGATTTGTCCAACCCTCGCCCACCCCCTCGTCCACCCACTTGCCCATCCCCTCGTCCACACACTTGCCCACCCCCTCGTTCACACACTTGCCCACCCCCTCGTCCACCCACTTGCCCACCCCCCTTGCCCACCCCCTCTTCTTGCCCATTCTCTCTCTCGGTGACCCTGTTTTTTTATCTAGGAGGTAAATATTTAAATGTTTCAATCTTGAGCAGCGCAATCTTATTTCTTGACATTCTTCCATTAAAAGTAAGGCCATTTTACTTTCACCGATGTCCTTTCCTATTGTGTCCTTAGTAAACATAAAATAATCTCATTCATTCTGTTTATAATATTTTTTTGCATTTCTACGAAATATTTGCTACAGGAATGGGTTTATCAAAGGGAAGTGTTTATCTTTAAATTGTTGTACTTACAATTTCCTGCAACAACGGCGAGCAAGAGAAGCAGGATTTGTATCTTCATGGCTCAATTTTGACCTGCCTTTGGCGCACACTGAAACAAACAGAATCCAGAATATACCAACATATACAAAGCACAACCTTTCGGCCACGAGGCCTACTTGTTTTTAAAGAGGTTTTGTTTGAAATTTAAGTTCTTTAAGTGACAAGCTATCAATACAGATAAATACATCTCTAAAATCGTTTTGTACCTTCCAGTTGGAAAGTCTGGCACATGAATTTAGTAATATGAATGTAAGGATACTCACCTTGATACGATGAAGAGATACTGGCGAGGCAAGAATCAAACCCAACCCTTTACAATGCAGAAATAAGGTCGGAAATCATCCTACCTACGCACTATGACGCATTTCTGTACCAGGTATTGTTTAGTCATTCAATACCAGCTTTCTTTCCTTTTCAAAGAGGACCCATACAAATAGCATTTCGCATGATCTATCGGCCCTTCTTTTTCACCCTCCTTTTATACTTGACTGAGCAAACACTTTTTGTTTTTGTATAGGAGTTAATAACATTATTCCATTATTGTACTTCGAAGCAATTGACTTGATCAGTGAATTTAGATGATAAAGATGATATGGAGACACTGAACAATTCAGTGACAGTTCAGATTATCAAGAATTTTAAACACATGGCAGTTTATGATATTGAATTTATAACCTGTGCAATATAAGCTAATGTGTGTTTAAATCACAGATCAAGCTGATTAACCCATTCCTTTTCCCAAACCAAATGATCCTACGTTTCATCAATTTCCCTAAGTCGATTGCTCCAGTGCTGACAGCAGTGCTACTTACTGTAGGTCCACTGGAGATGATGATATACCTACTAAAAATTGAAAATGAAAACAACTTGATTTATTCTTAAGACATTCAGAGTATTCATCTCAGTTTTTAGACAAAGCCCCCCAGAATCCCCAGAAAGCCTCCTCTCCCATCAGATTACTCTAGTGTCTCTAATAGAAGGGGGAGGTAATAAAAGGGGGTGTTCATGTCGACCAGTTTTCAATAGAAGGGGGTTGCTAATAGAGAAGGGTGTTCAGGTAGGTCAATTTTCAAAAAATGTCAGCAAATTTCAATAGCAAATAGAAGTAGTGGATGTTGGTAAATCTTTTAGTTAAAAGGCAGTAGAATTAGTAGTTGGTGACACTGGTTACTTGATAATGGATAGATGGTTGGAGATAAAGATAGACAAATACAACAAGGGGAATTGAAAATTAAAAAATAACTACATATCATAACAAGGAGAAATATTGTCAAGTGAAGATGGCGTGTTCTGGTCATGACAGATTTGTAAAATTGAATAGAAGGGGGATACTAATTAGCGACGGGGGGAGAGCAAATTCTTCGTAAATTAATACATGGGGCCTGTCTATCAGAAACATTAGAGAAACATTTAGTTTTTAATTCTACAACAAGAATTTATCTGGAAAAGTTGATTTTGATAAAGTTCCTCGTTGGGTTGCCACTGTTAACTAATTCACAGGCTCCATCACAATTTTAGGACAAAGCCCCCGGTATCTTGGATAAGCGTCCTTTCCCGCCCGATCAACATGGTTTAGAAAAGGTTGCTCTGGTAAAGTTCCTCTTCGGGTGGCAATGCTCCCTCCTTGTACCTCTGGACTACTCCGGCCAAGAAATAGTCCAGCTGCTATCGACCAAAATAACACAGAATTTTTCAAACTGGCGATAAAAGAATGCTGGTGATTAATTGGCTCAAACTGGTGACTAACGATGACCCTTTGGGTACTGAATCCTGATATAGTTAAGCCACTCCAAGTTAAGCTCTGGAGCTGAGAACTGCGCATGCCTCAAAACATACAGCATGGAAACGGTGCTGGCTATCAAAAACCATTTATTATTATCCGATTGAAGTGGCTTGTTTCGATAAAAATCAAAACAAAAATAAAAAGTAGTAATATTGTGGATATAGAATGCATTTATGCCTCTTAAGGGGCTAGGATAGGGTTCAAATAATGGTTTTGGTAGAGTTGCTTCTGTACCCAGAGATAACATTTTCAGCTTTTTTCATGTTGAGCATATTTCGATATAATTTGCGGAAAAAATTATCCGTCCTTTAGACATGTCATTCCTTGTAAAATGAGGTTCCTGTTTACTTTTTACAAGGCCCATTGGCATACATCACAAGTTTTTTCTCAATGCAATCCTCTCCACTCCAACTTTTTATGCGTTTCTTATAAGGGCAAACGGAGGTCTACCCTGGGTACCAGACTCATGCTTTTAATGTCATTTTGAAGGTCGTTCCATAAGATGCTGCCACAAAAGGCAATACTATCATTTCCATACCTAATAGTGTTAGCTTGAGGCAATATTAGCAGGCTCTTTAATCGTAAATCATATTGACTACTCTTTTTATGGAACATGTCCAATATGAAAGATGGGTTTTCTTTGCTTTTACAATTATAAACCTCCAGCATTACTTTAAGGTCGGTATTAAAGGTCGGGTCTACTTGCCTTTATTGCGTGAAGAATTGTAATGATAGTAATGATTAACATAATTTGTATCCTTTATTGCTTCAGGTCATAAGAAAAGTGGTAACCCTTCCTGTGTCTTTATCTTGAAAATTATAGATAACTATGTAGCAATGTTGACTTGAAGATCTCGTATAGAACATTAGCGAGATGTTGCAGTCAAAATTGAACTTGAAAAATAAGCAGGACTTTTTAAACTTGCTAATCATCGTAAACTTCCTTTGTAAAACCTTTTCTTTCTGAAATTTTTCTACGTACTTTCTATAAACTTTCATCGATTCAGCATTTTACGGTTTTACGATTCAGGGTTGTTGCGATCAACGTGGTTTACTTGTGGTCTCTTACACTGCCTTTTGTTGAAATGAGTGATTTTATTTCTAAAAAGTGCGTTGTCACGCAAAAAAACAATCGTCCGTTCCACTAGATTCCCTGTCCTTCCTAATTTTCGGGGGCTGGCACCACCTCTGACACCATCTCTTTTTGATAGACAAGTTATCTGAGCTAGCCCTCCTTCATATCGGAAATGACCCCCCTCCCACCCCCCTTTGGCTAGCTCTCGCTTCTATCTGAAATTTTCTAAATAAGATTATGATAAGATACATTGACAACATAAAACGATTTTTGGATGCCTGCTATGCATGTAAAAAGAATTAAGAAAAAAAACAACATTTTAAAATTAATTCAAAGAATACATTTATTCAAGCAAAAGACATGAAAAGCACAGCATTACATTTAATGAAAAAATCAGAACATTTTTAGCAGAAATCTGCAAAACGTCTCGTAATTTACTCCGCCGTTGACCCATCAAAACAATTTCCTCTGCTCCAAATCTAAAAAAATAATAGTATTTTGTATTCTCTCGAAACACGAGTTCACTATCAACATATGCTGTGATTGACAAAAGTGTCTAACAACAAATATTTGACTATGCAAAACAGGCTATATTGGTGCTAACCGCTAACCGTCTTGGCAGACGCTAACCGAGCACGCCTCTCGACCGATTTTCCTGATTTTTTCCCACCGGGTGCCCCCATGGCAGTAAGCCTTCACAGAAATGTCTTCGTTTTTAAATTTTTGCTTTAGTTCTTTCGATATATAACATTTTTCTTCGTTATCTCACTTGCTATTGTCCACCGTTGTTCATTTATGGCAATTCTATTGAAAGTCAATTTGTCTAGGTTTCCAAAAGGCTCATTCATCTCTTTTCAGAAAGTTTTCAAGGCATTTTCTCTCACTCTTTCGAGTAATTATGTATGAGTTATTGCGCCGCGAGTTGGCATTTTTTCTCGACCCCCAGTAGTCGTGAACGTTACTTTCCTCAAACTGCTGTGTGTTGTATTGCTACGGTGTTGCCCATTCCTACTATCCTTGGAAGCTTGAGCATTTCTGGAAGTGTGAGGCAAGCGTAATATCCGAACATGTTTAACGAAAAACCGCGAGTCGACGAAGGTTTCCACAGCTCAAAGAAGGGACTCAGAAAAGACAGGAAAATTTTATGACAATCAAAAAAAATACTCAATTGAAAAACCATGAGCCAACAAAGGTTTAATGTGCATGGCTTTAAAGTGCATGGCTAGAAAACTTCACAAGAGCAACAGCGAAAATGTTCAACGAGGACTAAAAATTGGCAGTGGTGGACAGAATTTGACCTCAAATTCAAAATAAAAGAGCTTTTAGATCGGTCGGTAAATATTAAATACTCGAGGTTATATTGATCGAATCGAAATATATTGATTGAAAACTTAAGCATTGAAATCCGAATAGACAGTAGAGCTTCAGTGGGTGAACCCATGAAATACTTAAACGAAGACCACGGATAGACCAAGGCATAAAAATGTATTGAGGCAACTTTCAATCTCCCCCTTCCTAGCGATGGTCACAGGAGAGCAAGTAATTTTTTATCACGTGACCTGTGCGGATTTAATTATTTTCAAATCGAGGTTAATACACCTCTTGTCTTTCCAAAGCTAATCTTTGTAATATGTGTCAGGGTTATCGGTTGCCCGCCTAGCGGGCTTCGTAGGGGCGGCTTTTTTTCCCTATTTTGTGTACTAAGCAAAGCGTTAAAAATATTGAAGAATTAAAAGCCTTGATCTGTAAATTAAACATATGGTCTTGTGAAACCTGACTATGGTTGGTCAGAATAGTACCTGCCACTCTAAAAACAAGAAGTCAAATAGCGCGTTATGCGTTTTAACCAGAAAACGTCACTAAAAAATACTAGCAATTATCACATGTCAGAAAACTGCAGAATGTAGCCATGTATAGTGATAATGATGTCATTATTAAAATATTCAACGTCTTGCATCAAACATCTACATTTTAACATAGAAATTCAAGGAAATATGCAAGGTTAGTTGGAAGGCAAGGAACTTTCAACCAACTGGACCGCAAAATGTCGTGCTTTCTTATAAAGGAAACTTTATAGCATACTAAAGACAAGGAAAGGACTGATGGGGATGTCATGTAGCGTCAGATAATTCTCCCCTCCCCCTTCCCCCGCCCCCTTCTTTAAAACAAATACACTTGATAAGAACACAGGGGCTCGAATTGCGAGCATTTTCAACACGTGACCAAACTGTATAGCAACCGTTGTTATCCACCATGTTAGTGTTTCTTATTACCACGTTGAAGCACAGCAAGATATCCCCATATTTCCAGTCTAACAATCAGTACGATGTTGTAAAAAATCTTTAAGGTTTTCATTATTTTTTTGTGAAATGATTTATTGCAAAGATGGTTTGTGTCTTATTGTCGGCTGTAGAGAAAAATGATGAAGATAGAGAAATAGCAGCGAGCTACGTGAAGACAAACCGGCCGAAAAATGCATCGGGTTACAGCAACTATCACCCAATATGGCGAGATAACCTGAATTCTTGGCTACAGAATGCTGACGAAAATGGATATCAGCTATAAGCCACTCAGGAAGACATTACAGACAAAAATTGGCAAATGGCCGTGTTTGCGTATCCAGTGGGGGCTCGATACCAGTGTATATCGCAAGCCTACTTTTACCGGTCAGTACATACGCTGGAATTCATTTTACCCAAAACAACGCAAAGTCAACCTTGTCAAAACTTGTCAAATCTAAACTGCACGCTGAACTGGAAAAACTTAAAACGATCTTTCTGGACAACGGCTATCCTGAAGACGTCATCTTATCTAATACTAAGGAGAAGCTCGCAAGTTTTGCGGCTGTTCAAAAGTTTGGTCCGCAAAAGTGCCCAGTTTATTTTAAACTACCATGGATTGGTAACACTTCCTTGCGATTCGAGAGTCAGATTAGGCAAGCCATAACAAAATGCTCCAGCAACTTTATTTTTGCTTTTCTTCACAACTATTGATATATCTGAAGTATTGAGTTAATTTAACATTTCTTTGATTACATGAGCCTCGAGTGCTCTTTAATATTGTTCTTTTTTGAAAATTAGCTTTTCTACAGCTATTCACTATGAACTTTTTGTACTTTTAGTAGAACCGTTGATTTGATGCTAACATCTGCTTAGTTGTTTCAACAAGATTTTCAACAAAACCTAGAAAAGTTTCTTTTTATCTTGCAATTTCTCAGCTGCTTTTATTGTTCCTAAAAGATGTTCTTTGCTTAAGTGTGTTCCTAAAAGATGTTCTTTGCTTAAGTGTGTTCCGGCCGAAAAATGCTCCAGCAACTATTACCCATTAAAGAGAGCACACCTGAATTGTTGACTACACTGACATTTCGTTTCAGATGCACCTACCAAAGGTTGGAAGAAGCATATTCCTGCCTTGGTATCAACATTAAATCTTGGACATTCAAAGCATCCAGGGACCGCGCACCAGTCTAAATGTGGGAGGGCTGAAAAAAGCGTGACGGAAAATTTTTGAGGCCACGCCCTCTAGAACGCCGGAAAACGCCCTTTTTTAGAAAATACTGGCTTATTTCTACTGGGGTTCTATAAACAATCTGGTGTAAAGAAGTTATCAATAGCTATAAAAATAGATAAAATTGGCTTGGGGATAATAAAACCTAAAGAAAAACACCTAGAAAATGAACAAAAAGGGTTCCCAATCAAGAAAAATTGCGACCCCTTAGGAGTATACGATTCAAAAATTGAAAAAAAATTGAAAAGAAGAAAACAGCATTAAGAATAGGCAAACCGATCTCCGAAAAAAATTAGATGTCAGAGGCAAGCAAAAAACATTAATAAATGATTAAGTATAAGTTTAAAGTAGAAACAATGTGTTAGAGCCATAAATACAATTTATACAGTGAAAACAAGCGATCTGTTGGCAAGAAATTTTTTTCACAGGCAGGAAAAAAATTGCAAAATAACCTCTGCTGTCTTTTGGTACAAACTTTGTATATCTTGGGTCAAATCTTTATTATTTCATAACATATTGATAAAATATTTATAGAGAAACCATACCAGGGTCCTATGCTTCGTCCTCGTAACCCCATCTTGCATCATCTACGCCATCTTCCTTTCTGGACGGCAAAACTATAATGGTGGACAAATGATAGTTTGAATATGTAAGAGCAAATTGATACTTCAAATATTATCAAACAACTGTGTCACAATATGGTTAGCTATAGGTTCAAAGTTGACACAGTGTTTACTTGGTGGAATATCTATTTTGCACACTGGAATTTAGAAAAAAATTCAATATTAAAGCTTTCTCATCAGCATGCAAGTAGAGTCTGCACGTAAAAGCATTAAAGTTGGATTTTGAAATCAACTGGGCCCCTATTTGCTTTCAGGCCCTGGGACAATGGATTGAGCAGAAAACGTGTACTTTTAGCCTCGTTTGCAGCTTGAAAATTATCTTTGGTCTTGTTTCCTCTTTTACATTTTGAAATAATTTGGCTTTTTTCCAACATTGATTTGGTTTTAAGCCCAAAAAGAATCTACCAACCCTGCATCTAACGTTACATTTTGAAAAAAAAAATTAAAAAGATGAAAACATGATTGAGAATTGGCAAACCGATATCCGAAAAAAATAAGATGCGAGAGGCAAGCAAGAAACATGAATAAATGGTTAAGTATAAGTTTAGGGTAGAAACAATGTGTTATAGCCATAACTACAATTTATACCGCGAAAACCAGCGATGTGTTGACATCAAGTTTTTTTCACCGGCGGAAAGAGAAAAATTGCAAAATAACCTCTGCTGTCTTTTGATAGAAAATTCGTATATATTGGGTCAAAACTTCATTATTTCATGACATATTGATAAAATATTTATAAAGAAACCATACCAGGGTCCTTTGCTTCGTCCTCGTATCCCCATCTTGCATCATCTACGCCATCTTCCTTTCTGGACGGCAAAACTATGATGGTGGACAAATGATAGTTTGAACATAAAAGAGCAAATTGATACTTCAAATATTATCAAACAACTGTGTCACAATATGGTTAGCTATAGGTTCAAAGTTGACACAGTGTTTACTTGGTGGAATATCTATTTTGCACACTGGAATTTAGAAAAAAATTCAATATTAAAGCTTTCTCATCAGCATGCAAGTAGAGTCTGCACGTAAAAGCATTAAAGTTGGATTTTGAAATCAACTGGGCCCCTATTTGCTTTCAGGCCCTGGGACAATGGATTGAGCAGAAAACGTGTACTTTTAGCCTCGTTTGCAGCTTGAAAATTATCTTTGGTCTTGTTTCCTCTTTTACATTTTGAAATAATTTGGCTTTTTTCCAACATTGATTTGGTTTTAAGCCCAAAAAGAATCTACCAACCCTGCATCTAACGTTACATTTTGAAAAAAAAAATTAAAAAGATGAAAACATGATTGAGAATTGGCAAACCGATATCCGAAAAAAATAAGATGCGAGAGGCAAGCAAGAAACATGAATAAATGGTTAAGTATAAGTTAAGAATAGAAACAATGTGTTATAGCCATGCATCCTATTTATACAGTGAAAACCAGCGATGTGTTGACAAGAGGTTCTTTCACCAGTAGCAAGAAAAGATTGCAAGATAACATCTGCTGTTTTCTTGGTACAAACTTCATATCTCGGTTCAAATCTTTATTCTTTCATAAGATATTGATAAAATATTTATAGGGAAAACATACCAGGGTCCTTTGCTACGCCCCTTAAATACCATATTGCATCATCTACGTCATCTTCCTTTCTGGACGGCAAAACTATGATGGTGGACAAATGTTAGTTTGAATATGTAAGAGCAAATTGATACTTCAAATATTATCAAACAACTGTGTCACAATATGGTTAGCTATAGGTTCAAAGTTGACACAGTGTTTACTTGGTGGAATAACTATTTTGCACACTGGAATTTAGAAAACATTCAATATTAAAGCTCTTTCATCAGCATGCAAGTAGAGTCGGCACGTAAAAGCATTAAAGTTGGATTTTGAAAACAACCGGGCCCCTATTTGCTTACAGGCCCTGGGACAATGGATTGAGCAGAAAACGTATACTCCTAGCCTCGTTTGCAGCTTGAAATTATCTATGTTATTGTTTCCTCTTTTACATTTTGAAATAATTTGGCTTTTTTCCAACATTGATTTGGTTTTAAGCCCAAAAAGAATCTACCAACCCTGTATCTAACGTTACATTTTGAAAAAAAAAATTAAAAAGATGAAAACATGATTGAGAATTGGCAAACCGATATCCGAAAAAAATAAGATGCGAGAGGCAAGCAAGAAACATGAATAAATGGTTAAGTATAAGTTTAGGGTAGAAACAATGTGTTATAGCCATAACTACAATTTATACCGCGAAAACCAGCGATGTGTTGACATCAAGTTTTTTTCACCGGCGGAAAGAGAAAAATTGCAAAATAACCTCTGCTGTCTTTTGATAGAAAATTCGTATATATTGGGTCAAAACTTCATTATTTCATGACATATTGATAAAATATTTATAAAGAAACCATACCAGGGTCCTTTGCTTCGTCCTCGTATCCCAATCTTGCATCATCTACGCCATCTTCCTTTCTGGACGGCAAAACTATGATGGTGGACAAATGATAGTTTGAACATAAAAGAGCAAATTGATACTTCAAATATTATCAAACAACTGTGTCACAATATGGTTAGCTATAGGTTCAAAGTTGACACAGTGTTTTCTTGTTGGAATAGCTATTTTGCACACTGGAATTTAGAAAACATTCAATATTAAAGCCTTTTCATCAGCATGCAAGTAGAGTCTGCACGTAAAAGCATTAAAGTTGGATTTTGAAAACAACCGGGCCCCTATTTGCTTACAGGCCCTGGGACAATGGATTGAACAGAAAACGTATACTCCTAGCCTCGTTTGCAGCTTGAAATTATCTATGGTCTTGTTTCCTCTTTTACATTTTGAAATAATTTGGCTTTTTTCCAATATTGATTTGGTTTTAAGCCCAAAAAGAATCGACCAACCCTGCATCTAACGATACATTTTGAAAAAAAAATTGAAAAGATGAAAACATCATTGAGAATAGGCAAACAGATCTCCGAAACAAATAAGATGTGAGAGGCAACAGAAAAACATTAATAAATGATTAAGTATAAGTTAAGAGTAGAAACAATGTGTTATAGCCATGCATCCTATTTATACAGTGGAAACCAGCGATCTGTTGACAAGAGGTTCTTTCACCAGTAGCAAGAAAAGATTGCAAGATAACATCTGCTGTTTTCTTGGTACAAACTTCATATCTCGGTTCAAATCTTTATTCTTTCATAAGATACTGATAAAATATTTATAGGGAAAACATACCAGGGTCCTTTGCTACGCCCCTTAAATACCATATTGCATCATCTACGTCATCTTCCTTTCTGGACGGCAAAACTATGATGGTGGACAAATGTTAGTTTGAATATGTAAGAGCAAATTGATACTTCAAATATTATCAAACAACTGTGTCACAATATGGTTAGCTATAGGTTCAAAGTTGACACAGTGTTTTCTTGGCGGAAGAGCTATTTTGCACATTGGAATTTAGAAAACATTCAATATTAAAGCTTTTTCATCAGCATGCAAGTAGAGTCTGCACGTAAAAGCATTAAAGTTGGATTTTGAAACCAACCGGGCCCCTATTTGCTTACAGGCCCTGGGACAATGGATTGAACAGAAAACGTATACTCCTAGCCTCGTTTGCAGCTTGAAATTATCTATGGTCTTGTTTCCTCTTTTACATTTTGAAATAATTTGGCTTTTTTCCAATATTGATTTGGTTTTAAGCCCAAAAAGAATCGACCAACCCTGCATCTAACGATACATTTTGAAAAAAAAATTGAAAAGATGAAAACATCATTGAGAATAGGCAAACAGATCTCCGAAACAAATAAGATGTGAGAGGCAACAGAAAAACATTAATAAATGATTAAGTATAAGTTAAGAGTAGAAACAATGTGTTATAGCCATGCATCCTATTTATACAGTGGAAACCAGCGATCTGTTGACAAGAGGTTCTTTCACCAGTAGCAAGAAAAGATTGCAAGATAACATCTGCTGTTTTCTTGGTACAAACTTCATATCTCGGTTCAAATCTTTATTCTTTCATAAGCTATTGATAAAATATTTATAGGGAAAACATACCAGGGTCCTTTGCTACGCCCCTTAAATACCATATTGCATCATCTACGTCATCTTCCTTTCTGGACGGCAAAACTATGATGGTGGACAAATGTTAGTTTGAATATGTAAGAGCAAATTGATACTTCAAATATTATCAAACAACTGTGTCACAATATGGTTAGCTATAGGTTCAAAGTTGACACAGTGTTTTCTTGGCGGAAGAGCTATTTTGCACATTGGAATTTAGAAAACATTCAATATTAAAGCTTTTTCATCAGCATGCAAGTAGAGTCTGCACGTAAAAGCATTAAAGTTGGATTTTGAAACCAACCGGGCCCCTATTTGCTTACAGGCCCTGGGACAATGGATTGAACAGAAAACGTATACTCCTAGCCTCGTTTGCAGCTTGAAATTATCTATGGTCTTGTTTCCTCTTTTACATTTTGAAATAATTTGGCTTTTTTCCAATATTGATTTGGTTTTAAGCCCAAAAAGAATCTACCAACCCTGCATCTAACGATACATTTTGAAAAAAAAATTAAAAAGATGAAAACATGATTGAGAATTGGCAAACCGATCTCCGAAACAAATAAGATGTGAGAGGCAACAAAAAAACATTAATAAATGGTTGAGTACAAGTTTAGAGTAGAAACAATGTGATATAGACATAAATACAATTTATATAGTGAAAACCAGCGATCTGTTGACATTAAGTTTTTTTCACCGGCGGAAAGAGAAAAATTGCAAAATAACCTCTGCTGTCTTTTTGTACAAACTTCGTATATCTCGATTTAAATCTTTATTCTTTCATAAGATATTGATAAAATATTTATAGAGAAACCATACCAGGGTCCTCTGTTTCTTCTCCGGATCTCCATCTTGCATCATCTATGCCATCTTCTTTTCTCGACGGCAAAGCTATGATGGTGGACAAAGGATAGTTTGAATATGTAAGAGCAAATTGATACTTCAAATATTATCAAACAACTGTGTCACAAAATGGTTAGCTATAGGTTCAAAGTTGACACAGTGTTTTCTTGGCGGAATAGCTATTTTGCACATTGGAAGCTAGAAAATTTTCAATATTAAAGCTTTTTCGTCGACATGCAAGATATAATACCAAATTTATCTAAACTGCAATCTGTATTTTTGCCATCTAATGTATTTTGCGTACAATCAGGACGAAAAAGTATTGCACAGGCTGAAACAGAAATGGCGGCACTGTCTGTCTCATGAATTTCAGACTGTATATCCTTTGACTGCTTCTTTTATAAATTTAAGAGAGGATCTCTAATAAAAACTACATAAATGCAAGAAACACATTTCCACATTTTGAAACACCACATATCTGCATAAGGGCTCAATACCGGAAATTGCAAGGTAGACGACAATAAAGCATTATATCCGCAATATCGGCACATTTTTGAGAAGCAAGTTTTACTGTATGAGCTTGCCATGTTCATTTCGAAGGTTTTAAGCTATTAATTGTTTTGGTAAACGGGATTTTAATTTTTTAAAAAATATTTCTTGATTCGGGCGTTCGTAAAGGCACCGGCTTAGGCAATGTTTACGTTGTCAAAAATATTGTTTTCGGGCTTACTTGCAAAAAATCTTTTATATGAGTAGATATCGCGTTTATTTTTGGTCTAGAATATATAGTTTGGGTTTTTGTTGGAGATAGGCGTGCAGCATTTCGTTGTTTTGTGCGAACTTAGAATGTCATTTTTATTATTCTTCCATTGTCTTTTTATTTGAGATAAGATCTAAAATAATAAGATCAGCTCAAACCACTCACTAGCAGGGGCGTCGAGAGGGAGGTTAGGAGGGGCAAAAGGTCAGGGGCCCGTGCTCCGAAGGGGCCCATAATATAGGGGCAAGATCTTTTTCAGCTACTTGTACAGAATCAACGCCTGTAAGTTTATTGCAAAGAAGTCCAAATGATTCATTCGATTGCCCTCATCATTGGTGATGTCATTTAATGGGTGGCGCAAAGGGTACTTGGGCTTCAGCCACTCCACTTTTTTGCGAGGCAAGTAGTTTTAAAGCTGCAGGAAAAGAGGGAGGAAGCCTTGACCCACTGCTTAAGCTTGCCTTGGCCCCCCCAATTTAAGATTTGTGGCGTGGGCCCTGAGTGCTACGTATAAAAATGTTTCGGCCGAAGAAGTACCAGAGGCACATGATAAACCTCCACCCCAAGATGATAACCAAACGTAACTGTTGAATCATAAAACCCCGTTTACCAAAATAATGTATAGCTTACAACATTCGAAATGGATATGGCAAGCTGATACAGTGAGTATAGCTTACCTCTCAAATTTTTGCCGATTTTCGAAAGTATTGGTTCTTCTTCGTCCGACTTACAATTTCCCGTACTGAGCCCTTAGATCATCCTTTTACCAGTATTTCCCCTTGAGTGATTTTGCCTCAGCTGAAAACAGGAAGTTAGACCTCTAGCGCCTTCGGCGCTTCTATATCATTGGTGCCTTGGCCATAAAATGAATCTGAGGCTTTTAGAGCGGTTACAAACGCAGATGGCGCTCGTCTAGTGTTTGTTGGGCCTAGGTTTGCCGGTTCGAATTTTTCTAATCCGAATTGCAAAAATTTAGATTTGTAGAAGCTTGTCTGACTTTCAAAATATGTAATGGACTAACTCAAAATTTGGCTTATTTTACGATTCTCCAAATTGGCCGAATATTTGATTGTTTTTTGCAGCCCTCTCGTTTGTTATTCCTCTGTTTTAATTAGCTCTAAGGAAGCTCTTTTTGTCGATCATGTCCTTTCAGACCTTTTGGTTTCCTTTGTAAAACAAAGGTAAAACAAAGAAAGTTGAGTGTCAATAAGGAGCAATCCAATGTAAATTAGAATGATATGATAAACCGAAAGTTTCAAGGGATTGTCTAATATTTCCCCGGAGAGACGGGCAGTTTTTCGCTTGCCATTTCTTAACACAAATTGCAATCGAGGCTGGCAACATGAGCTCATATCGGCATGTGTCCAATCGGAGTGATTTCAGTCTGGTGGGAGTCTACCTGTCTCTGTGAAATTATGGAACACAACCATATTTCCCGTCTTTCCTCTACTAAAATTAAGGCCGTTTTACTCTCACCGATGAATTTTCCTATGGTGTCCCTGGTAAACATAAAATAACCTCATTTAACCTGTTTATAACCTTTATGCATTTATGTAATTTCAGTCTGGGAATCTACCCGTCTCTGTGAAATTCAGGAACATTAGCACTTTATTTTGACAAGTTTGGTTTATCAACTATATTTGGCCTGCTCCTTGAGGTCTGGCGTTGTTCCTGCCTATACTAGACGACTTCGGAGTTCGCAATGCCATAACATAAGTAGGTTAAAAGCTGCGTAAATTGGAATGACGGCCTAAAACATAGGCAACCACTTGTTGAAGCGTTTTTTGTGCTCTTCTCTCCGATCTTCCTTCGTCATGTCATGATTATCGCGGCTTTCGATTCGTTTCGTTGATTAATCGGAAAACATTCATTCACATTGCCCGCGAAAAACACAATGAGCGCCTTCGGTGCCGTGATAACCGCTACAATAGCCTCGAGGGCATAATTGCCCATTGAGCTGGTCAGGCGATGACTCAAGCGGTAAAAGGGCAAAAAGATGATTCCGCATAAGGTAAATTGCAAGTTAGACGAACAAAAACCAAGATTATCGAAAATAAGCATAATTTTGAAAGGTTAGTTATACTGTGCTAGCTTGCCGTATTAATTCCAAAAGTTTAAACCAAAAAATTGTGTTGTTAAATAGGGTTTCAAGATTTTGAAATATTTATTGCTGCGGCGCTTGCACGGCCCACTCTGGCCTAGGCAATGTTTACCTTTTCAGGAAGACTGTTTTCGGGCTTATTTGCAAAAAACCAAATATAATTTCAAAATTGGGTTTATTTTGTATTTCATAAGTAAAAGGAAAGATGTAAGAAAGTACTCTTATATCATTATGGCAACTTGTTAAACAAACACTCCTCTACTTCGACAACCCCCTGCATATGATTTATGGTAAAAATTTCAGATGTGAGGAGTGAACAATTTTATCATAACTATCCATATCAAGTTTTTTCCATGGCAAGACCTTCCCTCTAACATTTATCAGCAAATCAGACTTATTTACGGACATCAGGGTGTTGTAGGAAGGGGGCGTGGCTGAATGAATGTTAGAGGATGACCTCTTTTACCACGGTTTCTTAGGCCCCGTTCACACTGCTACGTTTTCATATGAAAACGGAGCAAAACTTATCCGTTTTGGCCTTCCGTTCACATTGCTCCGATGTGAAAACGGAGGCTTTTGAAAACGCTAACGAAAACGGATAAATCTGAAAACGGTGCGTTTTGAAAACAGTCCGTTTTGAAAACGGTCCGTTTTCAATGTGAACACCAAAAACGGAGACATTTGAAAACGCTAACAACAGCAGCAACATTCGATGCCGAAGGCGTCAAGAATCAAAATACAGTGTTTTTTTAAATTGGCTGACATTGGAGCGATAACGACTGTTATTTAAATGCTGTTTGCTTTGGTTTCTGTTCGTAGTTTCATAGCAGTCATTGCAGCGTTGAATCAAAGTTACAATGCACGTAGGAAGAAATTAATGTTGAGATTTTTAATGGCTAATAGATCCATTCACCAAATCAGGTGCAAGTTGATTGACAAACGACGCCAGTCGAAGGAACGTCGATTTTGGGTTCGCCCTGGCAGAACGAATGCTTGGTGGTCAAATATACTGGCATATTTAAGCTTGAAAGCAATTTCTTGATTAAATTTCTTATCGACTCCTTGATGCAAAATCGAGAATGGCGTGGCCTCGTGTGTGTGTTTCGGTTTGGCGCCAGTTTTGTGGCAAAACGACTCGTGTTGAAAGGGAGGCCGCGACTGCGTTTTCGCTAGAGCAATGAGAACGCCTACCGTTTTCATAGCGTTTTCATTTTAAAACGGAGCAGTGTGAACGGACCGCGTTTTTATTCACAAAACGGATAGAAATGAAAACGGAGCAGTGTGAACGTAGCCTTAATGTTACGATAACAAAGTAACACAATATGTTTTCATAAGCGCGACAATTTTGTGAATAAGCCCAAAAACAATCTTCCTAGAAATACAAATATTCTCTAAACCAGAGTGCCCTTATCAACGCCACGGTAAAAAAATTTTTTGAAAATCTCAAAACCCGTGTACAAACAAAAATTATGGCTTAAAACTTTCTTAATGCATACGGTAAGCTGACAAAATATAAGTTACCTTCCTAAATTAAATGGATTTTCTAAAATTTTGGGTTTCGTTTGCGAGCTTCGGAATTTCCCATACTGAGTCCTTATGCGGAGTTATCTTTTTGCCCTTTTACGGCATGAGTGATTTTGCCTCACTCGATAACAATAAAATGAGACATCTAGCGACTTCGTCGCTTGTATATCACTGACCCTCCCTAGACCGATATGACCCTAGTGTCATATTGGTCTGGACTGATATGACCCTGGAGTGATATTGGTCTGGACTGAAAGGCTCGGCGAAGGTGAAGAATCCGGTTCAGATAATCCGATTAACGTCGTGTCATACACGTAGAGGAGTTTTTTGACAGCATCAACGAATCACAGGTCGCCTAGGGTCAGGGAGCGCTCTCCTAAAAATATGACATCAAGCAAAACATGGCGCCACTCCGGATTGTTCATGTTCGCCGGGACCTCTATTGGTCTGGAACACAACCATATTTCCCGACTTTCTTCTACTAAAATTAAGGCCGTTTTACTCTCACCGATGAATTTTCCTATGTTGTCCCTTGTAAACATAAAATGACCTCATTTAACCTGTTTATAACCTTTAATGCATTTATTTGATATTTCTTAAGAAGCAACACTACCACTTTGAAATATTTGCTTTTGGAACGGGTTTATCAAAGAGAAGTATCTATAAAAATGCTGTTGTACTTACAATTTCCTGCAACAACGACGAGCAAGAGAAGCAGGGTTTGTATCTTCATGGCTCAATTTTAACCTGCCTTTGGCGCACACTGAAACAAAAAGAATCCAGAATATACCAAAAAATTCATAGCAAAGCTTTTTGGCCACGAGAACTTCTTGTTCTTAAAAAGGTTTCTTGAAAAATTCAAAAACTTTAAGTGACAAGATATTTATTAAGATAAATGCTTCTCTAAAATCGTTTTGCACCTCCCAGTTGGAAAGCCTGGCATAGCGTAGCCTATTTGTTTGTCTGTTTTGAATTTTTACATCTTTTCATCAGTTATATGAATGTAACCATACTCACCTTGACACGATGAAGAGATACTGGACAGGCCAAGATTCCAACCAAACCCTTTTTAATGCAGAAATAAGGTCGGAAATCATACCACCTACGCACTGTGACGCATTTCTGTACCAGGTATTGTTTAGTCATTCAATACCAACATTTTATCCTTTTTTAAATAAAACTCAAGAAGAATCCCCCATAATTTTCGAATTATTAGCTATACAAATTGCATAGGAAGAGATTAAATAATTTTGGTTTTTCATTTGGCATGATCTTTTCGGCTTTTTATATTCACAATTATTTTCTAATTGACTATGTCAACCCTTCATGTCTTTGTTTAGCAGTTAATTACGTTATTTTGCATTGTACTTTGAAGTAAATGGCTTGATCAGTGCTTCCATGGCTACGAATAAAACATGGTAAAACATTACCATTTTTGGACAATGTTTTATGACCTGGCCAAACAAAAATCAAATTTATTTCAACTCGGCCAGGTGGGTTGAAACTCAACCCCGGGTTTGAAAACTCTCATGTAATCAGGTCCTAAATGTTGAAACGTCTGTAACGGTGAAGCGCTGCCGCATAACTTCCTACAGTTACTGCGTTGTATTTGCCGAATGTTAACCGGTAATGTAACTAAACAATAACAACTTTGATTGCGCAGTGGCGTAACTGGGAAGTGTGAAGCTCTTTTTTAAAGTAGTGTTTTGAAAAAAGCGGCTCGGTTGCGCTAGCCTACACCGGAGACCCCCCCCCCCCCCCTCCACCCTTCCAAACGAAGATAGGGTCTACGAATTAATGAGGCAAAGCTTGCTACTGGCCGTTCTCAAATTTTGGAGCTTAAATTATGCAAGATCATTAATACTTGCATAATCAAGGACATGCAAAACAAATTAATATGGCGGTACTATCAGGTGTGGCGGAGTTTGATGAAACGATACTAGCAGATGCATAGGGTATTGCGTTGCGTGTATATCTTTGCAAGCTGTGTTTCAAAACACAAGATACATCGATCAACATCTGCATTCGCCTCCATTAGTTCATTCCTAATCAAAAGAAAGGAGGCCTTTCAATCGTCGATTCTAAAAGACTGAACACTCTAAGAACAGACTGAACACCCCATGAACACCCCAAGAACACCCTAAGAACAAGCTACTAAGCGGCTGAACACCCTTTAAAACATATCAAAATCGGCATATCATTCGAAAAATAATTTGGTAAATCAATCGAAATTAATCTTGGGGCGGGAAAGGGCCTGATAAGTCCAATGCTGTTGGTGTTGTTACAACCAACTGATGTTTTGCACGCCAAAAGTGTGAACGGGGGTTTGTAGATGCGGAGCAAATTCGAGTTTGACTCCCTTTGTGCATTCAAGCAATTTCCCGTTGTTTTCATATCTTTCACATCCAGTGACAATGTCACTTGACTACCTATTGTCCTCCAAACAATTGTTCTTCCCATCCGCTAATTTGCCCAAATGGTCACGGCATAGAATAGAAATTAACTATGATGTGGTCACGATATGCTAGTGCACGCTAGCTTGTTAGTGCAAGCAGAAGGAGACACACACCTCCTCTCTTGTTGTGTTGTCATTCTCCAGGCAGTGACGTCACCAGCTGGTGCACTCGCAGGCCCAATTCCTGGATAGGATTTTTAAAAGGAATTTTTGTCAAATGAAACAGAAAATGCACAGTGTAGGACTTGTTAGTCGTCGGTTAAAGCACAATTTTAAGGGCTTTTGTCGGAAAATTTGCTTGTTTTTGTCGGTGTTGCGGTTCCTCTCAGCTCCCTAGGCAACTATATATTGTAAAAATAATAATTATATGGACTGTAAATAACTATATAATTATCTTATTGTTACAAATTTCTAACTAAGTTTCTGAATATAAAATGAATTGGAACTTGAATTTTGTTGCCAAGAACCATGGTAGCAGACGGGCTATAAGGGCTTTAGCCACACAACAATTTACAAACCCCCGCTCACACATTTGGCGCGCAAAACAACCGTTGGTTGTAACAACACCAACAGCATTGGACTTATCAGGCCCTTTCCTGCCCCAAAATTAATTTTGATTGATTGACCAAATTATTTTTCGAGAAATATGCCGATTTTGATATGTTTTAAAAGGCGTTCAGCCGCTTAATAGCTTGTTCTTAGGGTGTTCTTGGGGTGTTCATGGGGTGTTCAGCCTGTTTTTGGAGTGTTCAGTCTTTTAGAAACGACGGCCTTTCAATTGACTATGGTTCATTCAACACCTCATTGAACTTGACAAATAAAGCCCAAATGGGGTCTGGGAATGATCAATTATTAAAAATATTTACGCATAGATTTATAACGGCCTGTAGCAAGCTTTGCCTCATTAATTCGTAGACCCTATCTTTGTTTGGAAGGGAGGGTCTACGACGTAGGCTAGGTTGCGCAGACTCACTGCACAGTTTTCAAGCACGTGGAATTCAAAAACTGATGGTCGTAATTTAGCTTGTTTTACCTAGCCTGCGTGCAGACTCTGTTGACAAAATTGAAAATAGGAGAAAAAGTAGAGTCTGCGAAGCCGAGCCGATTTTCTTGTTCATAGGTTCCTCAAAATCAAGGAACCAAATTGTTTAGGGGAATTTCAATTGCTTTTTTTTCAGTTTTCAAAGTGGCGCCTTCGAGCCGAAGTATAAATGAAAGGTATCAGGATAATAGAATAGGTCTGTTTGTTCTTTTGAACAACTAAAATTACAGAAAATAATTGCACGCTAATGGAGTTGTTGTTCTAGTGCTTAGAATAAAATCTTGATGTCAGCGAACAAGAAAAGCGGCTCTGTTGCGCAGACTCTACTTTCTCTCCTCTTTACAAATTTCAGAGTCTGCACGCAGGCTAGTTTTATCTCGATTTTGAAGTTTTTTTACCTTCATTCAGCAACTATTATTCAGCAACTCAAGAATGTCATTTGAGCTGATATATTTGCACGCCTGGGAAACTAAGTATTAAACAAAAATGCAAGCTAAAAAGGAAATGTTCTAACTGTTGAAGAGACAAGATTCTGAGCCAGAGATAGCATAAATTGACATTTTCCTTTTTATTATAACGCAAGAATTCTATTGAAATTTTAAGTGACCATAGCTTCGCGAGCGATAAACTAAAGCTTGGTTTCCACTATGGGTTAACGTGAGATAATTCTGAGCTAAATTGAAAATTAACTCATGGTCTAAATTCAAGTTAACTTGAGATAGTGTGAAATAGCGTGAGATCAGGGGCGCAGTGGGAGTTAACTTTTTGGGTGGGCAAAGCTGAAAATTTTCCGATAAAACTATGATTTTTCCGACAAATTTGTTCTCAATGCATTCCTTGAAGATTACCCTTGCTGCATATACTACAACACTTGATACTACAATATCACGGATGGATCTGGAAATCGTTAACGAATGGATCGTTCGTTATACACCTTCAAGTTCAACAATAGCCTTCATTCTAACAAAACTTATCAAATATAAATCGCTATGAACAAAACTGCAATTAGTTATAAATTTACACCCTACAAGTCTTCTCGCTATACTAGACAATAAACTGTCAAGTCAGTGTTTATAGCTGTTTATAGCAAAAAGTTTTTTTGGCAAGTTTTAAATCGCATCATAATTACTTTGCATTTATTTATGCTAAACCTTAAATAGATATAACGCCTCCAAAAGAATAGTTTTCTTTTAACTGAATTTATATAAACTGTTACTCAAGCAGCATCTTTCTCAAAAGAGGTGTGGCAGCATACAAATCGATGATGTCACCATAGTCTATCGACTGTAAAATATCACTTTCGACGTTGATTGTTATCAGAGAGGAAAGGCGGTCTTGTCCCATCGTTGACCGTAGCCGATTTTTTTACAATCCTCAGCTTTGAAAAAGCTCTTTCATAGTTTGTTGAACCTATTGGCAAAGTGAAGAGAACCTTGTAAAGAAGGACCAGCTGTGGAAAGGCACTTTGCAGGTTATACTTATCATCAACTGAAGAACTGAATGGAACTGAAAAGTTTTATCTTTCTTCTGCAGCCGGGAGAGGGTTGCTTTTTTCTCTAACTTTCCAAAATTTACGGTAATTATTGGCGAACGAGCTGTACTCATCTCTTAATTTTTCGTCATCCAGGCCGTAATTCTTCGCAACCTTTTTGAATTACACTGCACACAACTGCCTTTCAATTGTTTTTTGAAAACATTCAGGGTTGAGCAAGGCAAAATCTGTCAAAATTGCCTTATGAGACGTAAATATTGTATTCATTGAGCTGATAGCTGTATCCACTATCACGATGATATACAGATTCCCTATTTCCCTCTAATTCATCCATGCAATTTTCCCCTGGCATCTTTTTCTTTCTGCGTATTCGTCGCTCGACAAAATTTTCCTCTTCTAAGTCATGGCGAAAATACTAACTTTTTGCGTCTTCTACAACACCAGCGAATTCATTTCGAAATGAACTGAGTTGAATTTTAACTGTCAGAAATGGGAGTTTATAAAATAACTGAGACCAGAGCGTTAATTTCCTTTACAAATTTCAGCAATGCGATGATTCCGATAAATACTCTAATGAAAATAAGTAAGAAGGGTTGAGCATGCCCTATTTTACGACAGGTTAAAAAAAATATGCGACCTTTTGGACAGGATCGATGAAAACCTTACATTTTGTCTAATATTTTAAATTTTCCGACAAACGTTGGATTTTCCGACAATCCGACAAATTTTTTGCCAGGGGGGGCGGCTGCCCCCCCTGCCCCCCCAGCCACTGCG